AAACCTTGGCCTGAACTCTTCAACTTTGACAGTCCTTTCCCACCCAAACATATTGGAAATCAATACTAGTGAAGGAAATCTATCAGTTCACTCTGCATCCTGCTTATTATACTCTACATCAGTTTCCTCCTAAAGGAAAGCCAAAGTCATTACCAGGACTAAGGTGGTCCTTCCTGACTTGAGTCCTCAACTCACTTATCACCGGATCACCCACATTTAGTTTGGGGCCAGGTGCTTTATAAAGTTAAGATACAGGACCTCTGTCCCTCCCCTTCCACTTCACTTTCCCATCTCTTATGTTTCTACCAGTGACAAATTTTATGAAATGTAATTTAAAAAGTAGGGCTTGGTCCAAATGCCCAAAAGTAGATGAATGAATTAAAAAGATGTGGTACATATACACAATAGATTATTACTCAGCAACCAAAAATAAATAAATAAACACATGCCTTTTGCAGCAACATGGATGGAGCTGGAAAAGATCATGCTTAGTAAATAAGCCAGAAAGAAAAGGGAAAATACCAGATGATTTCACTCATAGCAGGAGTATAAAAGACCAGGAGAGAAAATAATAATAATAAACAGCTTTAGACCAGAGACATTTTATGGGGGTGGAGTGGGGAATGGGCTCAAAATCAATGGAGGGAGGGAAATGCACTGGACTATGGTGATGGCACATGGGTAAATTGGTGATGGGAAGCCTAAGGGGATTACAACTGAGATGGAAAAATGCGCAAAATGATGTAAAAATAAACTATTATTTAAAAAAAAAAAAGTAGGGCTTGGTCTAGAGCTAAATGCCACACTGCCTACTGACTCCGACCCTCAAAACCATGAAGTGGACAGACTGCTGCAGCTCTAAAACCTAAGAAAGACCTGATGGAGAGAGGGACAACAGTAAAGAACCTGCGAAAAATGGCTGACAAGCATTTCCTTTTAAGACCTGTACCCATAGGCAACAGCACAGTAGAAGAGTATTTTCTGGTGGATTTTTATACACCAAAACAACCACTAAAAAGCATAGCAGAGCACCTTATCTGGGACAATGACATAGACCTGATACTGTAAAACACCATCTTGGCTCAGAGGTTGTTCCTCCAACACCGACTCAGGAAGTAAAAGTGTAAAGAACTTGGTTATACGGAGAGTATGTTACAAGTACCATTTGATATTCCAAGGTATTTTCGCCTCTGGATCCCCATAGAGGATCAAGATTGCTTAGAGCCACTTTGTATGGTACCAACACATCAATCTTGATTTCCTTCTAGTAGTGTAACTTCTGAGTCAGTGAAGTCTTTCTGCCCTACACACTAACAGCATTTGCAAAAGCACCTAATTAAAACTGCCTTGGATTGCCAGCTAGTCATTCCAACTATATTGTCAAGTAAATGAAAATTTAAAGACCATTATAAACAAGTCCTAAGAAGAGAAGAAAACTTAAGATTTCATGCAGAGCATGCAGAGCCACAGAGGGCTAGGGGAAACTGCAGAGACTGTGCATATGACCAAACCCAGAAAACGCAGGAACACAGATGCAGACTGCCAAGCCTTGGGCCATCTCATTTATAAAGAGATCCACACAGGGAATAGGGAGCAAGGGAACGGGGAGCAAAGACAGGCTGGAATGGGTTTCTATGGACCAGTATCTGTCTGACCCTGCCTTCTGCTTCCTAACAAGCACCTTACCTCATTCTTTGATCACTGCCCCTTGGCTGGAGCCCTGTCCAAATGGAATCACCCCCAAGTGATTTAGTGCATTTTACCCAAGAGCAGGAGAAATGTTTCCAACATTCCAATTTAGATACACTTATAGAGAACAATTTTCAGTGGGCCTTTGTGGCAGATAATTTGCTAAGAGCTTTACATTATCTCAACTAATCCTCATAGTAATCCTATGCAATATGCACTAATATTTTCCCTCACAGACTTGGAACCAGAGGCTTAAAAAAATTTAATTAAATTAAGTTTAACCACAACCATTCTTCACCCAGCAACCAGAGAGATCTTTATAAAATCCAAGTCCTTACCGTGGTCCCCAGGATGGCAGGGGCCCAAAACCTGTATGAGGTTGGTCCCTGCCACCTTTCTCCCCTCGTATCTTCTCCCTTGCTCACTTGGGCCAACTTCAGTGTCTTCTCTCTCTTAACCCCTGAGCCACCAGGGAGGCCCCATACGGAATACAACTTTAAAGAGAAACCATGAACATAAAACAAACTACAAGGCCCAGGCTAAATTGCTCTCAGAGTCACAGAACTTATGACAAGAGTTATAACTTACTGATTACTTACTTCTTAGGCAGATAGTCAGGACTCAATGGCAAACACATTAAACTAGTCCAACCACTTCATTTAAGAGTTAAAACCAAAATAAAATAAATAAATAAAATAAATAAATAAATAAATCCAAAGACTGCAGACCCAAGGCACACAGGAGGTAACAACTTCCTAACAACCAGTGCCAACAGTCCTTGAGAGGACTATCAAAGCAAGTGATTATAGAGAAGAGTTGAAAGGGGAGGCCCCGGGCACAAACCCAATCATCAGTCAGGGCACAGAGGTTTCCCGTCCTTCCTAAATCCACTAACATTGTGTTATTCACTCTCCTACAGGATGATCCACCCCTGGAGACTATCAACTTCAGCAGTCCTGGACTACAGCTGCCTTGTCACAGAAATCACAGCAACTTAGAGTACTTTCCTTCTTGTTCTATTTTATTTTTGTTGTTTTGTTCCTTTCATAACTTTTTGGACATATACACAAATTTTTATTATATCAGTGATGTACTTAACAATCTGCTTTGTAACTTCACTTAGTAGTAAATTCAGGGACAAGATATAAACAGCATTGCATATTGCACAACAGATATTGAGCACTCTCTGAAAGGAATACTTTTCCTATAGTGTTTCAAGTTTTTAATTTGTTTTCTGGAAAAATCATATCATTGTCAGCATAGGTCCTGAATCTCTTCCGTTCTTGCATCCTCAAACACTTCACTCTATCATTAATCCCTCCCTCATTTCTGGTATTTAATTCATCATAATCCCTTTCCCAAGAGGGTCTTTTCTTCTATTTTTTTTTCATATTTTAAGAAGACTCTCTCAAACTGACAATGTCATTCCCGTTAAGAGCCAAGCTTTATCAAATGTGCTTATACCTCCAGTTCCATTCCCACAAACCTCACCTCACCACACCACAGAAGGGAGGGCTAAATCCATGTGGCCGCTCAGTCCTTACTTTGAACCAATGACAACTCCAAATCAGTAGCCCCCTGGCATTATCTAAGGATCATTCTCTATGGTTTGCCTCCTAATTCTGTGCCTGTTCCCTCTCCAGATAAGGGGTTCCCTATCCTATATGCAAATATTTACATAAATGCATGGAAGACTCATCCAACTGGCAATTATAAATACTTCTGGGAGTGAAATGTTATTGAAGTATAAAGTAAGATATTAACATCCTACTCTATAAAACTTATAAATTGTTTCAATATTCCATAAAAATTTCCTACTTACTATTTTTTAATGTTTTGTAAACAACATACATATGTAATATGTATTTTTTAATAGTATACTATTTTTAATATGTTTTGTAAACAGATAGCCCATTATCAATATCAGTCCACAGGACTTAAATCACCATATACCTGCCTGCTGCAGTGTCTCAATACTATTCTAGTCCACGCAAAATCCAGACATCTGAAAATTCCTGCACTGAATACTCAATAGACCCAAAAGCTGTCTCCACATGTCAGGTTCTCAGTTCTTACCTAAGTTAGGGTAAAAATCTAATTGGGCTCCCAGAGTGTAGTGTTCTCATCCAATTTATTCCCCAAATGAAAACCAGAAAAATCTAAGTAAAATACAAATTTTAATAAGCTGCCTCCTCAAATTCCTAATTGCTGTGTGAAAATTTGACAACTGATCACAACCTCACTGAAAGTCTAACCAAATTCAAAGAGATTTCTAAACTTCTTCCACCAACAGCTCCTGTATTCCAGTCATGCAAATGGCCTGAAGTTTCCAGAACGTATTACACTTTCATTCGGTTTGTCAAAGGTTACCTTTGTTAAATGACTTACTGAGAAGCTTTTCTGAAAGCTGGGCATAGACCCCTTTTCTATATTTTCTATGACACCTATCTTTCTGACACTAACTACATTACTACAATAGTCAACATTTTAATTTCCTACTATAAGCTTCCAAAGGAAAAATGTCTTATTTCTATGCCTGACACACATTGAGGGGAGAGAGGAGAACCCTATGAGGAAGATGGATATTCATAAATCTCAACCTTGAAAGGGACTTCAGAATTCAGTGTTTCTTCCTCCACCCCTCTATCAAATGTCTCTTATCCTGTATAATAACCACGTTGCTAAATGAGTGCCCAATCTCTTAAACACTTCCTATGACAGGAAAGCCACTTATTAAACACTAACACCAACAAAACCTCAGCACATATACAGATATTTCACCAGAAGGAGCTCACAGCCTGTTAATACCCTATCTTACAAGATCAAGCCCTTCTGTGGTCATGGCTGAAAGCTACTGAATTTTGGCTGTCATAGGTCTCATAAACACCTGGCAGAAGAAACATGGGTCGGGTGACGGCTAGAAACAAGCCTGGAAAGCAGAGCCTTCTACTAGGAAAAAGAGACATTCTGGTTTAAGGTTAATATCAGGAGTTAACTAGCACCCACGGCAGGCACATTCAACTAAAGAAGAAAGTAAAGTGGACTAAGACTTAAATCCTAACCAGATATATTTTTATCAATTTAAACACACTAGAACCTTTAAAAATATAGTTACAAACAAGTAAATTTGGAAGATTTTAACATAGTTACTTAACACAGTTTGAATTTCCCCAAACTCTTTTTGCCCTCACGTGTGTCTGTATGAGCACCAGACATGCCACATTGTCAAAAATGAAAACAAAACAAAACAAACGAACATTTAATGGGGTCATTTTGCCCTAATCCCAGAAGAATCTAAGAAACTGAGAAAATACAGTTAAAGCCAATTATTTTATTAAGGGAGATAGATTACTTGAATGTTATCTGGTTGTAGTAGGAGAAAGAAACATGTGAGAAGTCAGATTTGTTGTTGACTGAGGAGGAGTGAGTACTAAAGGCTCTGCCCATGCCTTTCTGTATTCCTCCATGGTCACATGAGTCACTTTCCATTCAGAGGATTCTGGAGATAGGATTTTTTCAGTTATCAAGTAAGTCTTTAGGTCTTCTCTTAGTCAAGGCATCTGGTGAAAATATAATCTTATTTTTCAGACTCCTCTGGAGGATTAAAAAGTCTCTTTCGCATTGCATTGCCATGTTCCCTGCTCTTGGTCCTCTTTTCCATGTACTAGAAAATAAAAGGGGGTAGAGAAAAGACAGATTATGTCACCATTTGTTTTAAACATTTAAAAACACTTGCAAACGTTGTTTCTACGACAAAATTCTTATCTTTTAACTTCAATGATTCTGAGACCGAAAATAGTCACCTTGGAGACTACAATAATTTTATTCAGTTAGTACTATATCGACATCTTAACACATTTACAAATAATGAAATTTTTACTGACTTAATTTCCTCCCAATATATGAACTCAACAAACACTTAGCATCGGATGAGTGTTGTCCTTGCTCTCCAGGAGTTCACAATCTAGTAAAATCATCTAATCTCTGCTTGAACATTTCTAGTTATGAAGTACTGACTACCTTTAGTCTATTTAATTACTGGACACTTGTACTTGCTCAAAGGTTCTTATGTTGCTCTTCAAATTATGTTGCCCTTCAAATTCTCCTATTGCCCTATACTTTTGCCCTCTGCTATATCCAAATATCTGATTTCAGATAACCGATCTCTTATTCAGACTGAGTATTACTAGTTCCTAACATCTATTCCACAGAATATGGCTTCTGCCTTCTAATATCTATCTATAAAGCAATTTAATACAAATATCCCTTATAAAAATACCAAACCAAAATTAAATCGTGTTCTAGATAGTCTGAAAGACATGGACTACAGTAGGCCCATTAGTCCTTAAGATCTAAACATACTAAACTTATGTAATTTTTTTAATCAAATGAACTTTTTTTTTTAAGATTTATTTATTTATTCATACAGAACTGGGGTACAGGCCAGAGATGCGGAGGGTGAGAGGATTGACCAGAGAGAGAGCAGGGAGCAGAACAGGCGGATCGACGAAGTACACTGCTGAGGGGAGCAGCGGGCGGGTCAGGAGAGGTCTGCCACACCAGACCTCTCCGGGGCAGGCGGGGATGGAACTCATGAGAAAGTGGCTTTAGCTTCTTTGTGCAGTGCTTTAACCCGCTGCACCACCAGGGAGGGCCTGAACTTTATTTTTTAATTACTTTATTTGTATAGATTTTACATTACTTGTAGTCCCCATAGAATTTCCACAACCAATTCATCCCTGCACCAGCACCTTAGTCCCTTGTGCTCTTCTCCTTCCCTCTCTCCTGTAGAATGTGTCTGATTTTACAGCTGCCTGGTTGTTTTTGTTTAGTTTTTTTTTTAATTATTATTTTTTCCACTGAACCCTTGTTTAGTTCCCCTATATTCCTCCTATAAGTGAAACCATCCAATTTTCTTTTTTCCTTCTGACTTATTTCACTGAGCATCTGTTCTAGCTCCATCCATGTTGCTGTAAAGCGTATTAGATTATCTTTTTTTAGTTCCTGAATAGTAGTCCATTGTGTATATGTACCACATTATTTTTGTCCAGTCACCTATTTTTGAGTATCTGGGTTGTTTTCCAAGTCTTACCTATCATAAATAGTATTGCAATAAACACAGGGGTAGGTAACTGGCCCTTAAGCACATTGTTTCATATAGAAACTTAGTCAGCTAAATTTTTCAGGATCCTTTCATCATGAACAGTCATCAAGCCTGATTCTCCCCAAAGCCTATGTAAAATCAAAATGCAGTCTTCACTTTAGAAGTTTCCAGCCTTGTTTTCTGATCTAGCCAGTAGATTAAAAGAGGAGGCCTAAAAGACTGATACTTAGAAAAAATACATACTTAAGGCAGAGAAACTTGAATGTTAAATGTCTTTATATGTCTATTATTTACATGCTCACAGACATATTTTAAAGGTGAATGAAAGGATCAGTAGGTAGGAAGGACAGGAAGTGAAAATAAAGTTAAAAAAATTGAGTATATATAAAATCTTTTAGGAGCCAGAGATAAAGAAAAAGGCCACAGAAACAAAAATTAATGATAGACAATTAATGGAACAATAAAAATAGATGGCTAACAAGGAACTTGATGGCATCCCATTCCCCAATCCCTGAGATAATGATGGGAGATTTGTGACTCTGATGTGTCTAATCCTGTGGGCCAGTAACCTCAAATATAAGGGGTTAGCCTAGATAAACTTTAATAAATTTTCTAGGTTTAAGGTTATAAATATGGCATTTTGACATATAATCAAGAATGCTATTTTTTTTCTTTTTCTTCATCATTAAAGAACCACTTCAAAGTATAGGTTCCCTCATCCAAATCATTCCTTTTATTTATCATAATTTCACTCATAATACTACTTGGGGAAGAAGGATATTTCCTTGCTTTTAAAAGTTTCTAAAAACTTCCAGAACATGGAGGAATACCTGCTCTGAAGAAAATAATCTATCATCTATCTTTAATCAAGTTGGGAAAAGGACCTTAAAGGGGAAAGATAATACTTAGTAGCCGGCCAATAAATAAGTCATTGTGGTAAGTAAAACACAGTCTATTTTGAAATATATTATTAAGATATCTTCAAAGAGTACCAGAATAAAAGGAAAAAATAATGAATATGGCCTTACTCACAAAATTCTACTAAATCGAACAAATAGAATGGAAGACCAATCAAAACCAAACCAAACCAAAAAAAATTAAGGACAAGAGAGGATGACACACCAAAGCAGTTATTGTTTTGTCAATAAAATAACAGAAGTAGCAACAGAGCAGCAAAGAGAAACTCTGAAAGAATTGGCCAGAACCACTTACTAGTAAAAAACTCAAGGAAGAAAGTACTCAAATGACATATGAAAGAAATGATAGACACAATAAATGGTAAACTAGAAAGCGTTAAAAGCAGAGGAAATAGATGAACACATGTTCAGAGGATAGGGGGATGAAAGAACAGGCAGAAAAGATCTATATATCAGGCAACCAAGCAACATAAAAAGCACATAAAGGACTTAGAAAATGAGCTAAGGAGAAAACGTGGTATTTATATAAAAACAAAATATAAAAAAATATCTACAATAATCCACTCACTAGTGCCTAACACTGAGAAGAAAATGTCACTGGAAGATCTAATAAACAGCAAAATTACAGAAATGTTAGGGAAAAAAAAAAGCCGATAGGGAAAAACCTACCTTGCATAACTGAAAACATGTAAGAAATAAACAGCTACACAAAATAAAATAGTATAGACTTTATAATCCTGAATCATTAATGTCAGTAATATGTTCAAAGAAATGCATCCTTAAACAGCATCATTGTGTGAACATCACAAAATGTAATTTCACAAACCTAGATGGTACAGCCTATGACACACTGAGGCTGTATTATACAGCCTACTGGGGCCACCACTATACTGTGGTTCTTCATTGACTGAAATGTCACTAAGTAACATGTAGCTATTTTCCCCATAAGCTTAAGAAACAGCCCTACATTTAGTTTCTGTGTAAACTAGCCTTTACACAAACGAAGGAAAAACTTTTCGAAACACTAATACACGTATACATTTGTGTACACAAATAAAATTACCACAATACTAAATTCAAAACACCAGAAAAGTACTTTGTAAGGTAAAGACTCTGAAAAGGTTTCAGAAATAAAAGGATCCAAAAATGGAATATACGAAAATATAAAGATAAATATATTGAGCAGCTTCAAATATTGTATCTAATACCTTTCTCTCTTTTCTAAAGATTTATTTATTTATGCATACATTACTGGAGTACAGGCCAGAGGTGATGAGAGGATTCACCAGAGACAGAGTGGGGAGCAGAACAGGCAGAATGACAAAGTACACTGCTAAGGGGAGCAGTGGGTGGGTCAGGAAAGGTCTGACTCACCATGTGGCCATGTGGGTCACTTCTGGGGATGGAGACAGAACTCACACTGAAGTGGCTGGGGCTCACTTGCAGTGCTGTCCTTTAACCCAATGTGCCATCAGGGAGGGCCACCTTTCTCTTTTTAATATATTTATTACATCATCATTTTTGTATGATTTCCCCATGAAATTCCCACTATCAATTCACCTGTCCACCATGACCAGTCTCTTGTGCTCTTCCCATTCCTGTCCTGATCCATCTCCCTCCTCCTTCCCTACAGAATGTCTCTGATCTATCAAGAAAAAATTTCAAAAATACAGAACATGAAATATGGAGAGCAATTTTTTATTATATATATTTAAAGATTCTGGACAAAAAAATCTGATGTATGGCCCTCCCTGGTGGCGCAGCGGGTTAAAGCACAGCACTGAGAATCTGAAGCCACTTCCGCATGAGTTCGATTCCCGCCTGTCGCCTGCCCAGAGGAGACCACATGGCGAGCCAGACCTCTCCTGACCCGCCCGCTGCTTCCCTCAGCAGTGTACTTCGTAGATCTGCCTGTTCTGCTCCCCACTCTGTCTCTGGTGAAGCTTCTCACCGCCCCTGAGCCTCTGGCCTGTACCCCAGTTCTGTATGCACAAATAAATAAATCTTTAAATAAATAAAAAAAAAAAATCTGATGTACAAGACAAAAGCAGAATTAAACGTCTATTCAAAGATTTAAAAACATTCTCTGCTTGGTTAGCAATATTTATAAAATACAATACATTGTATTTAAAATTGTATTAAATAATACAATTATTGAATTTTATAAATTCTCTAGGCTGGCAATGTGCTATGTGCCCAAGTCCAAGTCATAGCCAAAAACTGGGTTCCAGTATGAGGCTTTCCAAACAAGTCAAACTAGATCCCTTTGGTTTGTACATACCATAATTATAAATGAAACTCAAAATCATAAAGCTGGAAAGAGCCTGTCTAGTTGCTCCATGTTACGAAAGGAAATTGAGGCCTAGAGAGTTTTGGTTACCTACAATAGCTAACAACTGACTGACATGTCTTTCTGCTGAAAGATTAAATTTCCCAAATCTTAAAACTTATCCAGTGACATTACAGTGATTACAATAAGAAAGTTGTTTTCATTTGTGCACACCTATGTTCTAAAACTGTACCTAAAACTGGCTTTCATTTCTCCTCTTGGTATCAGGAGAAAAGATACACTAAAAGTTAATTTTCTCAGTTATACTAAAATCTAGAGGAAAACTTAGTAATAACAGCAATATTGTTCAAAATGTTCCTTTGTATTGTTTCACCACTTCCCTCTTCCACTCTTTGACACTTTTCTTACCTCTTTCTTCAAGCATTTTCTCATCTCCCGGTCAAGATCATTGCAATGGCCAAAAAATTTCAGTACACTGTGCTAAAAGGAAGAAAAGGAGTAAAATATTTCATGCCTTCACATGCTAATGTCTTTGGCACATGGAATTTAAATATTCAATACTACAGAAATGAGTTAAATGTGCTACCTTGTTAATAAACAGTTAAGTCAGAAGTATATACACATAAGCAGGCATATCCTTCCTACAAAGGAAGTACAGGTAGAAATAGAATATATAACAGATCTATAGGTAGAAATGAAAAATTAAAAAGCTTTTGTTTGTAAAAATTTCATAATGTAGAATGTAAATTATTACATTACCTAATTAATGTAAAATAAGAGGCATTCTTATCTTAAGGGCCTGTTAAAATCACAGAACGATCCACCTTCAAATTACAGAGAGTGATGCCAAAGTACAGTGTGGTCATACAGACACAAATCCGAGTCACTTTACCAGTGAACACTCAGAGCCACAGAAAAGCTACTTAATAAATTTGGTACCAAACCATTTTCTCAGTTGCCGCATTCAAAATGTCATGTATCAGCAACACATGACACTGTTATTAGATGCCACATAAATAAGTCAATAATTCACAATATAAGGAGTTCTTAAGTTCAAAGTGCCTTTGTTTAAAAGTCAAAAATTGAAATCTGTTGGTTTCACCATAGGGTAGTGACAGGACTTGAACACGCCAAAGCAGATTGAGATGAAGACTGAAGTCAAGAACCTGAATTTCAACATGGCTAAAACTAGTGTTAATACTTCAAAATTTTTAAGGATGGGTCAGACAGCCTGATGAGCTGCAATAATGACAAGTTCAGAAGTGCTGAACTTGCAGTTGTAATAATAAGCACATCTTTCCCTTTTCTTTCTAATTAAGGCTTTCAGAGAACCAGACAATACATAATTAGTAAGTTATGCCTCATGCTACTTCTATTTTTCTTGCTCACCACTTTAGATTTATTTTTCTGGTCCAGTGGATTAATGGGCACAGTTACTCTAGCAAGCTTTTAAGATAAACTAGTATCTCCCAATAGTCCTAATGACCTTCTCAGAAAAAAATTTCCTCTGTATTTTTTCTAAATTACTTCCTTGACCACAAATAAACAGGGACAATGCATGTTCACATATACACACCCCTGGTCAAGTTAGAAATAACAAGAGATTTAAACTTTTAGAACGTAAGTCAATATTTCATAGCTTTTATTTGTTCATATTATGCCATATACATATATCTTAAGGCAAAAACTAACTTATTCAGTTGAGTTTTGAATAACTTAAGTTTGAATTGTGAGGTCCTCTTTTCTTGAATTTTTTTCAACTACTTCTCATCCTCCAGCTCAGCCTACTCAAAGTGAAGACAAAGATTGATGACCTTTATGATGATCCACTTATGATTTTTCTCATACTTTATTAGTAAGATGATGCTATATCAGACATATAATTCAAATAACATAAAGTGCTGCCAGTTTATGTATATACTAGTAAAGTTTCTAATTAACAGCAGAATATTAGTCATTAAGCTCCATAGGACACAAAAGTTAAAATTTTTAACTGCAAGATGGGGTGGGGGTAGAAGTTGTAGCACCCCTACCCTTTAGCTGTTTAAGGGTCAATTGTTATTTTCACCTGAACTAAACCCACATGTGAATTATATTCTTGTAATATCACAGAAAAACCATAAAATCCAAAATGCTCAAACAGCTTTGCACAAAGAATAAAATAAGAAACAAAAGCTATAATTTATAGTAGTTGAGTGGGGACGAAGAGGAAGAGCTGGAGACATAAAATGAGACTTATCCAAATAGAGCCTTTTAAAGGTTTGACTACTGAACCATGTGATTCTTTTACACATTCAAAAGTAAAACTGCAGAACAAATGAATCTAACAAATTATTGGAAGCTTAAATGCACATCCATGAAAGATTGGATAAATGAACTGACATATGCTTTCACAGAAGTGTAACATACAGTCATACATGACACAGTCATGGTCATAACATAGCTACAAAAAGAAAAAAATAAGTTCTTGAACGCACAGTTCTTACTCCCTCACATTGTGGCAGAACATTTTAAAGTTTAAGGATAAGTTTAAGGATGTTTTTCATAGGTTTGTTCATAACAGTGTTACTGGTATAGTAATTCTGAAGATACTGTATGTATCCATAGTAAATAAGTTTAACAATGTACTGGGTAACAGGATATTCACTGTGGAAAAGGGAACATCAAATATGGAATGGGATGTGGGTAATGTTGTAGTTCAATTAACTTCTACATACCATAAACTCAAAATAAAACCAACAACAACCCACAAAAGGCCCCACTGGAATTGGCAAAAGAAATGCCAATACCTTGCAATCCTCTTACATACATGTTTTAAGCCTGTAGTGCCTAATGTCACTACAGAATCAAACCAAGCAATCCACTGAACGAGTCAATCAATCAGTGCCTGGATTTCCCAAACAGCAATCAGGAAAGTCCACTAAGTCCCACTGTCAGAGCACCTAGGCAAATGAAAAGAAACACATGAAGTGACTGCTATAAAGGAGTGGTTTTCAAAGTGTAGTCCAGGGACAACAAGGAGCAGTTCCTAAGATTTTCCCATGGCCATCCCATGTTAAGAAAAAAAAATTCCTAATAAACAAAGATCTGGCAATTTCATTCTCTCACCAAGGTAAAGTCTGCCAGGGGATATACATTGTATAATATCACCACAGACTAAATATTAAGTAGATTTAAGAACCTAACACAGCTACAAAAAAAAAGTATTCAGTAATGAGGGAGGAAGACATGCAGAGTGATGAAATCCAAAAGACATGGGTCATAAAGGTTTTGAAACACAAAGAAATGCAGAATTTCGCATCCTAGTTAGACAGCCTTTCTCATAACCAGGTTAAATAAGGATTTACCTATGTCTTAATATTTGCATGGCTTCAACTTTGAACTTTTAAATATACGACCCACTACAAGTTGACTGATTTCCATGGCTTAAGGTATAGATTTAATTGTAGCTTTTCCGTATGATACATAATTGTCCTAGAGTCATTTATTAAAAATCCATCTTCAAAAACTACTTCTGGCCATGAGGGAGTAACTATAAAGATCTAGCCCTCCCATAGCAAGTAACGAGAAAACAGGAAAAATATAAGAAACTATTTTCAAATAACTTGAGCTCTACATTCACCCAAGCTTTCTACCTAGAGGCATTTCTAAACAGTGCAGCAAGGAAGACAACCTCAAGAGGAGAATGGCCATCTTACTAATGAGAGGAGGCAAACATCATGTTTTAAGGCGGTTGAAGCAACTGACATTTGTGAGGTAGGGGAAATTAAGAGTATAAAGATACACAGCAAAATAACTCCTGAAATCTATAATGGGTTACCATGAGCCACTGAATATTTATCTAGACCTATGTAGTAAGTACGAAACCTCACAAAGTAAGAATAACTACAATAATTACAAAAAATAATCACAACAGTGATAAGCAGATAAATTCAAATAACTTATACACAGTGGAAATGGAGCTAAAAGTAGAGGACTGCTTTAATAATTGCACTAAACTAATCCTAGAATAAAGGCTACTTGAGACAGGCCCTAAAATTACCTAAAAACACACCTAGAAAGGATGGATCAAGCTGTTCCCCTAAGTAAATGAACCTCCTACCAAAAGATAACAAAATCCAAGTTAAAAATGGTTAGTATCATATGAAAAGCTAGTAAACATGTTTTTTGTAAAAACTGACAAGCTCATTCTAAAATGTTTATGGCTATGAAAAGGGCCTAGAATAACTAAAACAACTTTGTAATAAAACAACTCTGTAAAAATGAATAATTAGATTTCTACTATATGGTTTTGAAACATACAACATATTAGTAATCAAATTGTTGTGCTACTGGCATTAAGAACAGAAACACCAGAAAGAGATGCAATCAACTGACAAAGTCTGTCTGGAAAAAGGACAGACTTTTCAACAAATGGTATTGCAATAAACTAGACAGCCATAAGAAAGTAAACCTTGGGCCCTCCCTGGTGGCCAAAGGGTTACGGCGCAGTACTGCAAGCAAGCCGCAGCTGCTTCAGTGCGAATTCAATCACAGGCCCCAGAGGTGACCCAAATGACATGGCAGACCTCTCCTGACTCTCCCGCTGCTCCCCTCAGCAGTGTACTTTGTTTACCTGCCTTTTCTGCTCCCCATTCTGTCTCTGGTGAGGCCTCTCACCTATCCTGCACCTCTGGTTGTACCCCAGTTCTGTATGAATAAATAAATCTTTAAAAAAAAAAGTAAATCTTGACTGACAACTCAACACATACATAAAAATTGAAATGCATTGCAGACCTAAAGTTGAGACTTCCAGCAACCCCACTCCTAGGTATCTACCCAAAAGACACAAATACACTGATTCAAAAAGACACCTGTACCCCCATTTTTATTGCTGCTATATTTACAATAGGAAAGACATGGAATCAACTCAAATGCCCAAACGTAGAAGACTGGATTAAAAAGATGGGGTCATATATGCAATGGAATATTACTCAGCAACCAAAAAAGATAAACACATGCCTTTTGCAGCAACATGGATGGAGCTGGAAGGGATCATGCTTAGTGAAATAAGCCAGAAAGAAAAAGAAAAATACCAGATGGTTTCACTCATAGCAAGAGTATAAAGGGCTGGGGGGGGGGGAGGAGAATAATAATGAACAACTATATAACTATATACCAGAAACATTATACAGGGGTGGACTGGGGAATGGGATCAAAAAAAGTGGGGGGGGGCACTGAACTATGGTGATAGCACACAGGTGATTTGGTGATGGGAAGCCCACAGGGATTACAAATGAGATGGGAAAAGGCACAAAATGAAGTGAAAATAAACTGTTATATTATTAAAAATTAAGACTTCCAGGAGGAAATAAAAGGCAGAAAATCTGTGATTTTCCTAAATTAATAATCAGTTCAAAATTATGTAACTATGGGAACCACTGGAAATTGTATATACAAATATCCGTACAAAAAATAAATAATACAAATTAAATTTCATCAAATTTACAAGCTGATCTTTGAAACACATCCTTGAAAAAAAAGATGCTATGGACTGGGAGAAAAGATTCACAATAGCCTTATATCTATAACACTCATATCAGACAAAAGACTTTTATGCCTGATGATAAAAAAATATTCTTTACTTCAGTTTTAAAAAACCATTTTTACAATACTATATGACAAACCAATTTTAGGAATTTAAAAGGGAAAAAGATTTGATGTGGTCAACATACATACATATGTTAAAATGCCTCAAAACATCAGCCATTGAGAAACACAATTTAAAACCAAAATCATTACTATACACCACAAATTGACTCTTTGATTGTTATAAAATACCAAGAGTTGGTAAGGATAGGGAGGTGTCAGGGATGTAAAATACAGAATGGAAAAATTTGGCACTTCTTACAAAGCTAAAAATAGATTTACCATACAACCCAGTCATTCCATTCCTAAGTATTACCCAAGAGAAATAAAAAGATATCCACACAAAGACTTGTACATGAATTTATTCAAAACAGCCTACAGCAAACAACCTAAATGTCTACTGACAGACAAACTGATATAATGTCTGTATAATGGAAGATGCTACTTAGAAATAAAGAGGAAAAATAGGTGTGAATGTCAAAAAAATTATGTGGAGCAAAACACAAGACTATGCAATGCAGTCCATTTACAAAAAGTTCTACAAATTAATCTACAGTGACAAAAAAATAATCCAATAGTTTTTTTGGACCAGGGTAAAGGTCAAATAACTACAAAGAAAAATTGGGAGGGGTTTTTTTTGGTGTGGTGATTAGATGCACAGGTGTTTACATTTGTCAGAACTCAAATTGTACTCCAGTAACACTAGCTATCATTAATGAAAATGGATGCAAGCATACATTTACACCAACTTCTCTTACAACTGACCCTATCTAGTTTTTTTTATTAAAAAAGAAGGAAAAAGAGATGAATTCAGGATTTGAGGGAAGATGATGAAAAATATAAGCTTGCTTATACCCTACTAAAGGAAGATTGCTTATTAAACTTGTTAGGTGTACTTTTCTGACAAAAGGACTTTGAAAACCTTTTAGAGTTTTTAAGATTTTTAGAAGCCATAAAAATAAAGGTAATATACTGTATGTAGATTATACTTTCAATAAAATTACTTGTGACTCTACTTTAGTACCAGTTATTTAAGATGCTATCTTTTATCATAAGAAATCCATTTGAACAGGAAAGAATACTTATTAATTTAATGCCAATTTTAAAACAGTCATGGGCCAAAGACAGTAAACAAACATAAACATGTAACAAATATTGCTTGAAAGAAAGGATTCAAAAACTTTGACCTCTGTCATAATTTGATCAATCTAGGAAATAAATTTAAAGCAATAAAACATCCTTATTTTTATTTTTCATGATGAAAAACGCACTTCTAAACAGCTCTATCAGTAACAAGATCCATGCAAGAATGAAACATCATTCCAGAAAGTATTTCTCCCCTCTAAGCTTCTTTCAGAACATGCCTTTCTGTTCCTTCCTTTCCACCTCTCCCTTAAATCAACACAAATAATCAATTCCTACTCTTAGAAAAAATAAGCATTTCACATTTTTTCCTTTTAAAAATCTGAACTTCTATAATCTGGCTCATTTTTCAGTAAGGAGAAGGAATGTAAGAATAACTATTAATTCCTGATCTAAATACATGGCGAGCATAGCTTACCTATATTACAATGATACCAACAAAATTCTTAAAACAGTATAAACTGACTTCACAAGTCATGGGTATGCTTACTACTTTACTTTTTAAATGGTATTCATTCAGATGATACTACTATTACTTGATGTGTATGTAGGTTATGAAAATCATGAGGAAAATAAAATCATCATGCAAAGTTAAGGAAAAACACAAATGCTTCTTATAACTATCATTCATCAAATAAAAGAGAAAGGGTAAATCGTTGACATCTGTAAAAATATCTGCTTAATTTTAATGCATTCCAAAAATGAGTTTCTCTTCTATTTTGGTTTTAACCACGGACTTTACCCATTCCGCGAACAATTAAGTAAACCTGTCAAAGTAGGGCAATCATAAATTAAATCTAGTTAACATCTAATTACATAAAATGTTCCAATTTCCTTTAAACACAGAATGGTAGACATTAAGGAATACAAAGTCTTAAAAAAAATTCCATTATAATGAAGAGTAAGAACTGAACATAATTGTTCTAGCATCCTATAATTGGGAAAGGAAAAGTATTTTATTTTAAGAACATGGACACTCAGCATTACAATATTACTTCCCTAAATTCCCCCAAAGAAACTGACCTCCTTGATTTTTTTTTTAACTATATATAACCACTTTGGGGTTTCTTAAATTTATTTATTTATTTATACTTTTACATCAATGTTCATTTTTGTACAGTATTTGCTTTCTCCTGGCCTCCTCTTACTAATCACAAAAGGAAGTGGTTTCTTAAAAACCAGAAGTATCAATTGCTATTCTTCAGCTAAGATCCACCTAAGACATTATCACTTGCTTCCATTAATGAAGAACACATTTTACATCAGTTTGTTGTACCTACATTTCATTTCTGCTTTAGTTATTGTTCTGAACTCTTACATTTTTGTGACATTCCTTAAGCAAGTTAATCAAGACGTTGCATTCTTCAGTGTGCAAGTGTGGAGATAAGTCAGGATGCATCTTTAGAAGAAGGTGATGGAGCACAGCAGAGCAAACCTGTGGATACAAGAGTGTCTTGAATATGTGTGAATATATTTGTCAATGCAACCTACAACTATTTTCAATAAGAAATGGCAGTGACTTGCTGGTGGGAATGCAAACTAGTACAACCACTATGGAAAACTGTTTGGAGGTTCCTCAAACTGCTAACCATGGAGCTTCCCTATGACCCAGCAATCCCACTCCTAGGTATCTACCCAAAAGACACAAAAACACTGATTGAAAAAGATACCTGTACCCCCATGTTTATTGCTGCTTTGTTTACAATTGGAAAAACATGGAAGCAGCCCAAATGCCCAAAAGTAGATGACTGGATAAAAAAGATGTGGTACATATATACAATGGAATATTACTCAGCAACCAAAAGAGAAACACATGTCTTTTGCAGCAACTTGGATGGAGCTGGAAAAGATCATGCTTAGTGAGATAAGCCAGAAAGAGAAAGAAAAATACCGGATGGTTTCACTCATAGCAGGAGTATAATAGACCAGGCGAGAAAATAACAAAAATAATGAACAACCATATACCAGAGACATTTTGCAGGGGTGGAGTGGGGAATGGGGTGGGGAGGGAAATGCACGGGATTATGGTGATGGCACACGGGTGACTTGGTGATGGGAAACCCGCCGGGATTACAATTGAGATGGGGGGGAAAATGTACAAAATGATGTAAAAATAAACTTTTGTAAAATTAAAAAAAAAAGAAAAAGAAAAAAAAGAGAGAAATGGCAGTGACCATTATGAAAAGAGAATGTTTTTCCTGGGCAAATATTAAACTTGAGCCTCAGTTTCCTCATCCAGTAATTTAATATTCAGCAAGTTATCTGGAGTGTTTAAGAGAATGTTTAGAGGTGCACAGAAAAGACTCAAAAGATTCCACTCTGAAGACAAATGCTCAGAAACAGCTTGTCTATATTAATAAGCTTCACTTCAATTATTTTACCCACAATACTGAAACTGAAATTTTTTCTTGTTCAGAAAAAATTCTACCAATTATGAGAACTGTTTTATTTATCTTTTAAAATGTAAATTCTCTGGGAGGGTAAAGAAGCACCAAGCAGTGTTACAATAGTGTGAATAAATGCAGTTTTCCCCTAACATCTGGCTGACAAAATCTAACTAAATAAACAAGCAGATGATAAAAAACTTTTTCAGGGGCCTCCCTGGTGGCGCAAGGGTAAAGTGCAGCACTATGAAGCTATCGCCACAGTCACTGCAGCACAAGTTTGATTCCCAGCCATGGGTGACCCATATGGCACAGCAGACCTCTCCTGTCTTACCCACTGCTCCCCTCAGCAGTGTGTTTCCATCAGTCTGCCTATTCTGTTCCCCACTCTATCTCTGGTGGATCCTCCTAGCCCCCTCCCCCACACCTCTGGCCTATATCCGAGTTTCCAGTTATTGTATGCATAAATAAATAAATCTTAAAGAAAAAAAAAGTTAAACTTAGCAGATATATCCATTAAATAAAATTATTATAACGAAAATAGGAAACTGAAATTAAGTTTAAGGACAAAGTAGAAAACACGGTCAAGGAAAAGCATTATTCAAAGGTGTTTATTATAATGATGAAGCACTACTCACTTCTTTCTTAACCTATTTTTTAACTCAGAAAAGGTTATCAAAAGAACCAGTGAATTACTTTAATCTTTCAAAAGTCCCAAGAAAGAAAATATAGAGTGTAGATTAACTAAAGGGTTCTTAGATGCATCAAAAACATCATCATTCTGGGCCCTCCCTTGTGGCGCAGCGGGTTAAAGCACAGCACTGAGAATCTAAAGCCGCTTCCGCATGAGTTCAATTCCCGCCTGCCCCGGAGGTGACCACATGGCGTGGCAGACCTCTCCTGACCAGCCCGCTGCTCCCCTCAGCAGTGTACTTCGTCGATCTGCCTGTTCTGTTCCCCACTCTGTCTCTGGTGAAGCCTCTCACCGCCCCTGAGCCTCTGGCCTGTACCCCAGTTCTGTATGCACAAATAAATAAATCTTTAAAAAAAAAATCATCATTCTATAAATGAGAAGCAGTTAACAACTCATGAAAATTAGAAAACTTTGTGCTTATAAAAAAACTCCACTAAGAAGAAATAAGCCAGAAAGAAAAAGAAAAATACCAGATGGTTTCACTCATAGGAGCATAAAGGACCGGGGTAGAGGGGAAATAATAATAATGAACAACTATATACCAGAGACATTTTACAGAGGTGGCGTGGGGAATAGGATCAAAAGGGGGAGGGGGGCAGGTAGAGTGCACAGGACTATGGTGATGGCACACAACAGATATGGTGATGAGAAGCCCATGGGGATTACAACTGAGATGGAAAAAGGCATAAAATTATGTAACAATCAACTATTATAAAAAATAGTTATTATAAATAAATCTTAAAAATAAAAAAAACCCGGGCTCTCCCTGATGGCGCAGCGGGTTAAAGCACAGCACTGGGAAGCTAAAGCCACTTCCACATGAGTTCGATCCCCGCCTGCTCCAAGGAGATCCACATGGCGTGGCAGACCTCTCCTGACCTGCCCACTGCTCCCCTCAGCAGTGGACTTCGTTAATCTGCCTGTTCTGCTCCCCAGTCTGTCTCTGGTGAGTCCTCTCACCCTCCACATCTCTGGCCTGTACCCCAGTTCTGTACGAATAAAGGGAAAAAAAACCACTATGAATATTAAAAACAAACCACACTTCTGAGTGACAATGACATACCTAGGTAGGTTCATCAGGGAGGCTGACACTGGAGAGTGCTGGAGGGAAGGGGTGAAGGAAGTATATGGGATATCTCTACTTTCTGCTCAATTTTGCTATAATCCTAAAAAAAATAAAATCTACTATTTAACAAAAGGCAAGTGAGAAACTAAGATGATATCTGCAAACCACAGACAAAAGATTTATATCTAGAATACATAAAAAAATGCTTATAAATAATACAATGTTTAAAATGGATGCAAAAGATGGGCAAAACATTTGAATTGATACTTCAACAAAGAAGCTACAGGAATGGTTAAGAACATGAAAAAGACTGCTAAACACCATTAGTCATTAGTCATTAGTGAAATGCAAACTACAAAAAGAGACTACCTTATATCCACCAGAATAACTATACTCAAAAATAACTATACTCAGACAATACCAAACACTCTTTAGGATGTAGAGAAAATGGAACGCATGCATTGCTGTTATGATGAAACAAGACAGGACACTTCAGAAAGCAATTCAGCCCTTTTTCAAGAAATTAAATACAAACTTAACATATGGCCCAGAAGTTGTACTCCTAACACCCCACCAAAGAGAAATAACACATATCTATAAAGACATGAATGTGACTTTTCACGGCAGCATTATTAATAATTGTCAATACAATTAAAATATCTAATAATCATATATAGGTAAACAATCTGGTATAGCTATACAATGGAATAAAAATATTCAGCAACTAAACGGAATGAAACTATATACATACATCGTCACGATTAACCTCAAAAATTAAATGAGAAGTCCAATTCAAATGACTAGACTATATGATACCATTAAAATGTAGAGGCAAAAAGTAGATCATTGGTTGCTTAGGCTTCAAGGTAAGAGTAAGACTTGCAAATAGGCATAAAAGAATCTGTTGTGATGATGAAAATGCTCTAAAGTAGGATTGTAGTAGTGGTTATAAAATAGTGTAAGTTTACTAAACCATTGAATTCACCAGAAAAGCTTAAATTTTATGGTAAATAAATTATATTTTAACAAGGATTTTTAAAAGTTCCAAGAAAATCAAATTGCTGATCAACCTCCCACTCCCAATAAAATCCTTAAATAAATGTAAACAGGGGCTTCCCTAATGATGCAAGGGGTTAAAACAAAGCATTGTTGCAAGGAGTTAAAACAAAGCATTGTGAAGCTATCCCCAGCCAGAGAGCTAACCTAGGTGGCTCAGCAAAACCTCTCCTCTCTCAGGAGAGTGTTTCAGTCAGCAGTGTGTTTCAGTAAATCCACCTGTTCTGCTCCCCAATCTGTCTCTGGTGAATACCCTCACCATCCCACACATCTGGCCTATACCTCTTGTAAGCAAAAATATATTTTTAATTTTAATGACTAATTCTGGTGAGTTATACTATTTCAGATTTTGATTTAGAAAAATATAAGTCGATCACACTATTCTATTCAGTAACTACTAAAAAGAAACAAACAAAAACACACCACAGTGGAAGAACACAAATCAGGTCATTTAGCAGTTAAGTTCAAGTTGTTTGCCTGCCACTAACTATGAAGTCTTTTTAATAAAACAACAATTCTGCCTTGAAAAAACAAGGTTTCATATAATAATCTAAGCTATTAATTTAATGCTGTACCAATACTATGCACCTACATTTATCTACAGTGGTTATTTGGTCTCTGCCTCACTTTTTTTCCTAAAGGAAGATGTATATAGGTTAAGTTACCTAGAAATGTTTTAAGTATTTCATTTTGTACAAACATTTGACAAAATATTTTCACATTTCTATGAACCAGCCCTCAGATTTACTCCTTTATAGTTCAGGAACAAGCTTATGGCAATAAATACATTAAAGTCACCCAGCTGCTGAGATGCATGCAAGTTGTATATATGCATAAATGCATATCAAATTATATATATTTTTCTTCCTCCATAATAAAAAGTTTACTTGAAATACAATGTGCTGTAGCACACCAGCATACCAGCAAGACCTTTTCCCTTCTTACTTATCCTGGATGACGAACTCAAAGAAATAAGATGTTTTATTTAATTTTTTCCCGCTGGTAAAAAGTTACTAAACCTAAAGTACTAAACACATCTCTTATCTAACAAATTCCTTGCTTTACATTTACCCTCTGTTTTCCACATACCTTTTTAGAAAGCTCTTCTTCCTTTCCCCCCTCTGTTCTTTTAATGCACACTCTGTCATGTGGCTTTGCCAAACCATTGATGCACACATGTAGATGCATTATTATAATCTTGGGTATAATATACAAAGCATGACTCTAAAAGCCTAACATTAAAATGTTGGTACTTCTCAGAACATGCTGATATTTTCTAGTAATCACCTTTAAAAACATATACTGACAATACTATTATAACTCAAAGTGACAATTTATGAACTGATGAAAAGTTAAATGTATATCCCATACTCATATATTTAAATTTCTTCAAAGACATAAGAATATATCTACAGTATTAGAGGAAATAATTTGAACTTTTTGATACAAGTCTTATAATCTCTCCCGTATCTATGGGAAGTGCTTTTAAAATTTGATTGAACCATAAGAAGTTGCTTTTATGTAGGTGAAAATACGCATTACTCAAATTTTCATAGCAGAACTAGGCCCCAAGTGACACAGTAAATTACAGAGTAACTACCCAAATAATTTCTTACCATGACAGACTTTTCCCATGTTAAAAGAGAAAAGACATGCCTTCCCAGAAGTTTGTGATGGATATAAATTCAGAATCTATTTCCCAAAGAGTGTGTGGTTGGCTACCAATTCAACAGGGATTAATTCTAAGCCTATGTTTCTAAAACATCAATGTATTACTCTGTGCTAGAAACCGAGAGCAGGTAACATCAAGAAAAAGAATAGCACTGTTTGTCCTCACTGGCCACATCCGGGATACTGACAATATGACTGTTCCTGGAAGGAGTACTCAGAAAGGAGGTGTTTTTGACAATAGGTTTAGACAAGACATTAATAAAATTGGGAATTAATAAACCTTTGGGAAGCCCATAACAGAGGAAACAGCAACAGCGCAGGTAAGTAAGACAAGCAATCGAGTTGAAGGGAGATGTGGGTTTGAAAACAAAAGCTGTGGCATCAGCTATTTCACAAATATTTACTTAAATTACTTAAATGTGAGACCTAAGTCTCTTCTTCCATAAAATATGTTTTTTGCTAAACATGGTGGGTCAGGGCCCAAAGGAACCAGAATGGCAAAAAAAAAAAAACTACTGGTAGTCTGAACTTTGAAATCTATGTAGTTTAAAAGAACATTCTGAGGAATGGGGCACACTTGCTTCCCGTGTGCTGATGAAAGCCCCTCAAACAAAACATCCCAGGGGATTTTAGTTTTGTGAGGTACTTTTGTGTTAAAGAAGTGGACGCAGCAATGTATACTCGAGGTCGATGGGGTCAAAGAGAGCTGTTTCTAGAGAAACCTGGTGCCCATTTAAAAGTGAAAGAAGTTTTTATCAGTGGTATTAAAGAGTATACAGAAGAATGTAATTTGACAGGCTACTTTTAAAAGATTGAAAACACAGGCATTTGAAGTATATACAGAAAAATGTAACTTGAGAGACTACTTTGAAAAGTATGGCAAGATTGAAAACAGACATTATGGGAAGACAGGTAGAGATTTGCCTTTGTGACATTTGATGATCGATAGTTGATAAAATTTTTCAGAAATGCCACATTATTAATGGGCATAACTTGGGTGAAAGGCCCTTTTTTAAACAAGAAAAGAAGAAAAGCAGTCTACTGGATCAGAAAGAGGTTATAGAGATAGATCTCTTAACTTTATGGGTCATGGAGAGAACTCTGGAAGTAATGAGGGCGTTTTGGTCATGACAGAAACTTTGATAGAAGAGGCTATGGTGAAGAATGTGGAGGCAGCAAAGGCAGTTATGGATATAATGTGTTTGGAAATGATAGTGGCAACTATGGTGGTGGTCCTAGTTATAGTAGAGGAAGCTATGGTAGTGGAACAGGATATGGAAACCAAAGTAATGGATATGGTGGTAGTGGTGATGGTAGTAGTGGTGGAGGATATGATGGTTACAATAAAGAAGGAAATTCTGACACTGGTCACTATGGTGGTAGTAGTAACTGTAATGATTTTGGATATTTCAGTGAATAACAACAATCAAATTGGGGATAGGTTCAGTGGAAGGAGCTTGGCTAGTCCCTGTTGTAACTATTAAGCATCTGGTGGTGGAAGTGGTGGCTATGGTAGCAGAAGATGCAAAAACTTCAGCAGAAAAGGAACATGGTTCTTCGGAGCAAGTAGTATCAGCAAAGCTGCACGTAACTTTGAGACAGTCACCCCAAATCTGTTAGAGGGAATGTAAAAATCTGCCACAGACAGAACAATGATCCATAGTCAGAAAAGTGACAGCAGTAAACCCTCCTTGTTCAACACAGTGTAGTTACAGTTTGGAAAAATTGCAGCTATTGATTGACATGATTTAGTGTCATACACTGCTTTTATCTAACCTTTTATCTGTTGTAGTTTTGCCTTTTTCTTTTCATTGCATCAGTTACAATGTCCTGTATTTTTTGGTAGTGTTATCAGGAATAAAAAAGAAATCTTAAAAAAAGAAATCATTCAATATTTTAGTTTCGTCATAAACTTTAACATAACATGTAAGAATATTTGAAATGAGAACAAGCATACCATCTAGAAAGAACTGTTTGTATATTTTAAATACCCTGTCACATAATGGAAAAGTAGAACTGAATTTACTAAAGTGTTTTGAAGGCAATAGAAACCAAAAATATGGAAGAGCAAACAATGAAGCAGGCTGCTGTGAAGCTTAGGTGTTTGTCCCTGTGTGCCCCAAAAAGGCAGTCTACATAAATTAAGGATGTCATAGAGTACAGTCTTGCTGTAAGTTACTTCTCAAATGTAAAATCACAATTAAGTGATTGTAAGTAGCTTGCCAAAATAAAATCCTTACTCAAAGGATAAACAATACCACAAAAAGAAATTTCAAAAGGGTACTGCCAAATTAAGGATAAACACCGAGTCCCACACTGAAACAAATATGGAGGAATATTCATGTGTGGTAACTTCAGAGAGTGAAGTGAGAAAGAGATGCTAAATTCCATTCAAACAATAATTTTTTAACACAAAATTTCAGTCCCACCTTTACAATGACATTTAGAAAACATCACAAGGATTAATTTGCCACAATTAAAACACTTCTCTCCCTGTGCCAATCCTTAAAGGATGCCCACGTCGGTAACAGTACCCCATGATACAGATTTCAACCACCAGGTGGCAGAAGTTTGGGGGAAAAAAATAAGCCAAAAGTAAGCAATACCTTCACACAGAAAAAGGAGCAAGCATTCGTAACACTAGCAAATCTATAATCACAAAAGGGAAAACCCTCTATTTTAATGCCATTTAGGTTTCTCTTTTAGAAAGATTTTGCTATTATGTGGCTGCACTGGAAAGAAATGTATACCACAATTGCAATTTCTAATGTTATTTTTAAACAAGCAAAAAACAAGTCCAGAAAGCCTATTGTTCAGTTTAAATAATCTCCAGGAAAAAAAAAACTGTAAATTAATACTTAATGCTTTCTAAAACATTTTTAAAGTCTACATTTCAAAAAGTACTGGTATTTGTTAAATTTGTTAAAAAATTTCTCCACCTCTTTCAAAGGATATACCATATTCAGCCAAGCCTACACAGACTTTGACTAGTGTGCTAGAATACAGATGCTGTAGCTGAGGGCAAGCCCCTGGTTGCCAGGGGAGAAGGACCATAGGATTCTACCTTCTATGTCCTTGTTTCTCAAGGAAGCTTTCTCTAAATAAGAATGTATCAGCACTTACTAGGTGCTTAGCATTCTGCCAATTCACATGAATTTCAGGGAGAAAAATTAAACCATACACGTCAAAGAATGCGCAGGCTAGCAAGGGGGGTATTTTGTCAATGCCTATAAGTAACTGCCCAGTAAGTGTCTGCCATACATTAACTAAGGGTTGGAGATTTGAGAACTAGGTTCATTTGAAATCAAAGAAAAAAACGTCTGCAAAGAGTAGAGACACAGTCATGCGTTCCTGGCCCGAAAACATTCCGAGTTATGCGTCCTTGGCGATTTCCTAGCTGTGCAAAGGCAAACTGTAATGACAGGCGTCGGCAGCACAGCCCACTGCACATTTAGGCTCTACAGCCTTGTGGTCCCACATTAAATATGCTGTCGGTCTTTGATCCAAAGGTCTCTAACCTCCTCTGAATGTCACAAAATCAGTCCTTTGCCACTGCAAACTTCTCTGATACCTTTAAAACGTTAAATGAAGATTTTCTGGAACTTGGATTTACTTAGGACTCCATAAAGCACCTACGGTGATATGAACAACAGCGTGATCTTTAAACTCAACAAAAGGGATTTGAATGTCTACTTTCCTTCAAAAACGATGCCCAAAGAGTGACTATTGACTCCTCACACCCCCGGACTGCCTGGTGAACGTTCGCCGCAGCTAGGGTGCGCGCTAAGGGTCGCCCACCTTCGACCGGCCAATTCTGAACTCCAGCAATGGCGACAGCAATCGTAGGATGGATGGAGCGCTCGCCACCGCACAGGGTATGGCCTGCGCACCCCACCGCCGCAGCGCCGGCTTACACCCATTATACTGGCGGGGAAACCGAGGCTCGGGGAAAGAAGAAGCCCACCCGAAGTCGCGTGGCCCCAAGTGGCCAAGGCCATTCGAGAAGACAGCGAGGAAGTCTGGAAAGGAGCATCTGACGGCGGGGGAGGTCGGGGCGCGCCCCCAGCCAGATCAGAAAACTCTCCCCAGGCCTGGTCGCAAGACCGCGGGAGCAAAGGCCGCCCCGAGGTCCGGGAGCCGGGGCCACCAGTGCCAGCTTCCAGGGCTGGCGGGAAGCCCCGGCAGAACGCGGCAGAGCGGGGCGCGCCGAGTTGGGGGACACGAGACGCGACAGGTGGGGAGCCACCCGCAGCCGCCAATCCAGCCAGTGCCTGACAGCGCCCCTCACCACCACCGGACTCCCCAGACTCACCCTACTCGCGGCCACTCCGGAGATCTTTGCCGGCGTTGACAGACGAGGATTCCACACCCCTAACCCGCCGCCTGGACGCCAGACCCGCAGCTCCCGGAGACCGAGGCGCGACGCCCTCCACAGCTGACCCCGCCGGGCCAGCCCCGCCGCCCGGGCCCCAAAGGCGCATGCGCCACTGGCCGGACTGGCCCATTGCGGGCGCTGGCGGGGGAGGGAGGGGCGTCTGAGGAGACGTGGCCGCCCCTAAACCACAAGCCGAGGTGGCAGAGCAGACTCCGTGACTGCGAATACTCGTGTCGCCACAAGAACTTCTGCGGACTGTCACGCGGAGGGCTGGCGCGCCTCACTTGGGTAGCCCTGCCGACGGGCTCCCCTAGACCCCGGCACCGGCTCAGTGTAAGTTCCAAGGGGCGGCGCGCCGAGGCAGCGGTAATTGTCCATTGGTGGCTTTAAAGACGCGGCGGGCGGGAACAGCTGCTGAGGAGCGACCGGCTGGCGATGTGCGCCGGTAAGACACCCCTGGCAACCGGGGGCCGGGCCCCAGAGGGGGTCGGGCGCCTTAAGGAACTCGCATCTAGGCGTCTGAGGCGACTATGTCTCGGCTACCGCGCGTCCTGAGGGGCTGGACTAGCGCTGCGTCTGGGGCTGCAGGCGGGAGACTGCCGCTGAATTTAAGGGGAGGAAGGGCAAGGAAGCTTGTTTGTGACGTCACGTCCGCCCATAATGGGGCGGGGCTTTGGGGAGTGCGTTGGTCCTGGGGTCGGCCCCTATTGTCACGTGACTGGCGCTCTCCGAGCCCTGCTTTGGGTCGCTGTTTCGCGTGGGGTTGGATGTTTTGATTTTTAGTTTACACCTTGACTGGCGTCCTTTTCCATCCCTGCAGCCGTGTAGGTCTGCGGGAAAGTTACTTAAAAGGGACCTTTCTTGTCATTCGTTTCATTCAACAAATATATTTTGAGGAGCAGATCCTATATGCCAGGCACTTGGCTGCTAAATGCTTGGAACTAAGGAGAAACCAGAAGAGTTCCCTCAGAAAGTTCCCACTTTCTTTGATAAAATGGAGTACACGCTATTTCTACCAGAACTCAGAACTAAAACGCTTCTGTGGCACTTCAAATGCAAAATCGGAAGCTATATGTGGAAGCCCCCAAGTCCTAGCTTAACTCCATGGCACCCAACAATATGTATTTTAACAAGTCTGGCCGTATCCCCAGTGTATCTGATGGAAGCAGTTGAGACTTGGTTTGGAATTCAGAGGGGATAGGGTGGAAATTAAGGGTTAATCCTTAACCCTTCTCATTTTGCTTATCACATCAGGCATACTGCTTAGAGGGAGTATTTAATAGTTCATTACACAAGTACTACTAGACGGTTCTTGGACTTACTAACACACTATCATAGATTCTAGGGATAGTGGAGCTCAAAATACTGTAAAGCAATAAAGTTATCAATAAGGAAGTGAATTTCAGATACCTTTGTAGCAATAAGCAGTGGGATATGAGAAATAACATCAGATTGGTGGTTATAAGTCACTCTTAGAAGAGGCCTTCTAAGCTGAGTTAGGATGTAAGCAAGCATCTCCCTGCAGAAATGTACAGGAAAAACTTTCTGGATAGTGGTGACTGCTGGTTCAATGACCCTTCGCCGGAAGGATCATTTTGTTTGTATTTGAGAAATTAAAAGGCCAATGTGGGGCCCTGTCTGGTGGCGCAGCGGGTTAAATTACAGCACCAAGAAGCTAAAGTCACTTCCGCATGAGTTCGATTCCCGCCTGCCCCGAGGAGCTCCACATGGCGCAGCAGACCTCTCCTGGAGGAGATCCACATGGCGCGGCAGACCTCTCCTGGCCCCGCCCGCTGCTCCCCTCAGCAGTGTACTTCATCTATCTGCCTGTTCTGCTCCCCACTCTGTCTCTGGTGAATCCTCTCACCCTCTCCATCTCTGGCCTGCACCCCAGTTCTGTATGAATAAATAAATAAATCTTTAAAAAAAAAAAAAAGGCCAATGTAAGCAAAGCTAAGAGAGTCAGGAAAGGCAGATGAGCAGAAGGGAGGCAAGAACTAAATAGGATGGGCCATTTAGACCACGATGAAGATTTTAGTCTTGCCATTAAGGCAGTTTGGACCTATAACTGCTCAAAAAAAACAAATCGGGCTCAGTGTTCATTATCCTGATTCAGTTCCCCCATTTTTAACTCAGTTATTTTTCTAACAACTCTTAATCATGCTTCCTTATTTTTAACTGTTGCTTTTAGTACCTTTTTATAGTATAATTATCGACCCATGTCTTTTCAGAAGTGGGCAATGGTAACAAATTACCTCGTGTTCAGTACCATTCAGTTGCTATAAATGAGTAGCAGCCAGGACTAGGAATACTCCCCTTGGTTCTAGGAAATCCCATAAGCCTGCAATCCACTGTGACTGAAAGGCTGAGGATTGCCTCTTGCTGTAAACACAGATATGAAGGCCTTGTCCAGACATTCTCTTTTCTGAAAGATAAACTGTTAAGGGAATTTAAAATCTGCAGCTATCCTGAATAATGTTTGCTTAGAGAGCATGCTTGCTTTTGTATGTTTTGTATTTTTTAAAAGAGATGAAGAGACCCATGTTGTCCCCAAATGAGGTAGCAGAGTTGAGATGAGCTGTCACTCTTGGCCTACAGCATTTGCTCTAAGGAAATTAATAAAAGGGCTCAGAATCCCTCTTCCTTATGTCACAATTTAAGACAATCACTAGTTTATGTCCTGGGAAATCATAGCCCATGTCTATGGCTAAAGGAATCACACCAGGTTTGGCACTCAAGACATTTGAAGACTCACCTTTTCAGAGACGGAGGAGGAAAAGTGAGGTGATAGCATTGTTAACTTGCAATAACAGAAGTAAGGAGACTGCAACCTTTCTCCACCTCCAGCTCTTATTGTGTCCTCTAAATTCATAAGTCCAGTTGGTTATTTATTATCTCCACATGGAGTCTAACAATCTTAAAATTTCAGCTTCAAAACAGAAGTGTTAAACTTTGCCCCAACCCCTAGCCATCTCCACCTCCATTCTTTGGGTTGCCTAATAAAAACTTTAGTGTCATCTTTGATTTCTCTCTTTCTCTCACATCACATTCAACTGATCAGGAAGCCCTTCAGGCTCTCTTTTAGAAGCATGGTCCAGAATCTGGCCTCTTCCCGCTACCTCCACCTTGGTTCACTCTGTACTTACCTATATTATTGCAGCAGCAGCCCCGCTGCCTCCCACCTCCACCCTGCCCCCTAGACTGCATCCTCAGACATTAGCCAACTGACCTTGATAGAAAAATCCAGTGACAGCATACCTTACCTCAGGCAAGATGGCCTAGTGGCCTATTTCTGTTAGAGCAAAAGCCACAAACCTTGAAATGGCACACAGATCTCTCCTTGATCTCCGACCTCAATTCCTCCTCCTGTCTCACTGCAGCCCTCCTTTCTATACCTTTAAGACCCCAGGACTTTTGCAAATGCTGTTCACAGCCTGAAAAGCTCTTCCATCAGTGTGTCACTTGACTTACCCTCTGAGTATTCCCTCAAGTCTCGCCTTCTCTTTGAGGCACATTCTTCCCATCATACCACCTCTAACCTACTGCATTTTCACTACTCGGAGTTGGCTGACACTACTGCATTGTCTCTATAGCACTTAGCACTTTTAATATATTTTTGTGATTTTTCCTGTTGTCTCACTCACCCCACTAGAATGAACACTCAATAACTGTGGGGGTTTTTGACTTTCTGGTTAAAGATATAGCTATTCCCAGTGTGCACAGGTATTCAGTAATTTGTTATTGAAGCAGTAAATGACTGAATGGTGCATGAATCATTGCCATCAAAAGATCAAAATACTCTAGTCAAGAAAGAAAGAGCACTAAATTTTAATAATTCTAAATCATATTTAAATACACAGTTTTGGAAGAAAATAATTTCTGTTGAAAGACTTGTTTGCTGAGTGTCTGAAAAAGGTAGACATTTGGGTGTTGGACCTGTACCTCAAAATCCTGACAGAATATCTGATGCCGAAAAATTCAAAGTTAAACTTTTGTACTTGGTTAATAATTTGTTGTGCTATTTTTATTAAAGTGCCAAAGAGATGGATGAAAGTACTGCCGAGTTTCTCAAGAGGACCATCTTGAAAATCCCACTGGCTAAAGTGATGACCATACTAAGTGCTTGGGGTTTTTTGTCTGAGAACCAGCTGCAGTCTATAAACTTCCGGCAGAGAAAGGAATCTTTTGTCCAGGAATTGCTTCTGCTTTGTGAGGTGCCTATATTCAAAATTACTAGACTGAAACATCATGGTTTTTTCTTTCTTTCTTTAGTCCAGAAGAGATTTAAGGCAGTTGCTAAGATGTGAAATGATGAGGTCTTGAAAATGCAATAATCTATCGTGACAAAAATCAGATCCATGGTTGCCTTGATACCGGAGGCTGGGGGGAGAGAAGTGAGAACTGGAAAAGGGTAGAAGAGGGGTAGAAACCAGGACAGTTTGGGGATCTGGTGGATATATTCACCATGGTGATGGTTTCATGTGTACGTTCATATGTCAAGACTTAAATCAATTTGTACATTTAAAATAAGTGCTATTTATTATGTCAATTATACCTTGAAGTTGATTGAAAAACACGAAAAGTGAAAAATGAGTAGATTGTTGGATGAGTTTTGCCTGTGTCAGACTGAACTGAGGGTAAATGGGCTAAGCAACCCTAAAATTGTGCTGTCAGTGGGGTGGAACAAACCTATCTACTAAAGCATTTTTTTCTTTATTTTTAGGAAAAGCATGCAAGTCTCAACGATGTGGCCCTTTTAGACATCATCTGTAAGTTGTAGTGATATATGTATACCTTTAGCCACTCCATTTTTACCAGAGTCAGTTTGTAAGAGCTCAGATCCTAGAATCAAAAGCCCTGCATTCAAATCCCAGCTCTGCCACTAACCGGTCTTGTTGCCTCTGCAAAGTGATAGCACCTTCCTAAGCCCCAGAGTTCTCAATAACAGGGAGGGAATACGAATACTTACTTCATGGGATCCTTGTGAGGGTAAAAGGAGATAATACTGGAAAAGCTCTTAGCACAGTAACACCTAGGAAATATCCGTTAGGCTTCCTAAAATTATTATAGAATCTGAACATATGTTTTTTTATACATTCAGAATTTGTTAATAATAAGAATTCGTTATAAATAAGAATTTGTTCTTATTACAGTATTGGTCTCCCTCCTATCCCTTTTCCATTTTCCCTTTATATCTTAATTTGCCTTTTTTTCTTTTTTCTGAGATATCTACTTTTCTCTCCAAAAGACATTTAGCATAAGGGCTAAGAATATAGGCTTAAAGCCAGATTTCTTGGGTTCCATTTAAAGCTTCTTCATAGCCTTCCTGGGAATCCTGAGGGAAAGTCATCACCACCTCTGTACCTTGGTGTTACCATCTAACAAACCCATATCACCATAATATCACATAAAGTTATGGGGCAGAGTAAATAAGAATACAGGTGAACCACTTGGAAAAAAACCTGCTGTTTATAAATTGTCATTGTTCATTAACTGCTTTCTATGGAAGTGTAACAAATCTCTTTATACTGCACTTCAACTATGACATAGTTGAATTTAGTCAGCACATTGGCCTAAGTTCTGATTTTTAATGATTAAGTTATATCTAGTCCATAAAAGGAACATGCGTGCCATTCCACTTCTCATGCATGTATTCCAGTGTTCATTAAAGTACTGTGTGCCAGGCTATGTGCTCAGCATTGATAAGCCTAAAAAGGAGGATTCACTTTTTTTTTTTTTTTTAAGATTTATTCATGCATACAGAACTGGGGTACAAGCCAGAGGTGCAGGGGTGGTGAGAGGATTCACCAGAGACAGAGTGGGGGGCAGAACAGGTAGATGGGGAGCAGTGGGCTAGTCAGGAGAGGTCTGCCACACCATGTATGTCACCTCCAAGGTCGGGGATTGAACTTGCACTGAAGTGGCTGTCGCCAACTTGCTGTGTTGTGTCCCAACCTGTTGCACCACCAGGGATGGCCGGATTCACTTTCTTAAGAGGTCAAGTCTTGTGGCAAAGGCAGGCTTGTTAGTCATGTGGATGCATTTTGCAGATTGTTCTGTGTCACAGAAAATAGAAGGGCGCTATGAAAGCATAGTGAGAGCTTCTGTACCCGGGAATTATGAAAACTTTCTTGAGGAGATGACACTTGAACCGGCAGGCAGAGGATATGTTGGCGTTAATGAGGTAAAGGGGAAAAGGGCAGTTAAGGAGCAGAAGGCATTAAGCATATGGTGCGAAGAAGTCTGGAAGGTGAGGGAGAATGTCCAGGACCTGAGAACAGATGGAGGGCAGGTGCTCAGTGAGGGAGGAGAGGCCAGACCCTGTGAGCCTCAGATAGAGGCTAATACAGTGGTGTAGAGGCCACTTGGGGATTTGGTCTTCTAAGAATATAAAACCTTTCATGGACTATGAGCAAGAAAGATCAGGTTTTTGTTTTGTCAAGGATTCTGATTACAGTGCAGAGAAGACGGACCAGAGAGACTGGGGAGAGACCTTTAGGAGTCACTGGAGTGGAGCAAGAAGATAATGGTAGAAAGAGTGAGATAGTGGAGGTGAGAGGGGCCAAGAAATGTAAAGATTAAAGTGGACAGGACTTGCACGTGGGGTGGTCCTTTGGGGGTCCAAGCATAGCTCTAGGGTCTGCCTGTGCAACTAGAAGGCAGTGCAGCCCCTCAATGATACAGGGACTAAGTGTGTCACAAAGATCACAGACTAGTCTTGGACAGATGCTAATTTGAGGAAATGTCCTCATCTCTGTTTAAGTCCTAGCTACTCATCATAAATTTTGACGTGATGTTTAGTGGAATGATTAACAACCTTTTTTACAGTTTCTTTTATTACAACAAGCTTAATCAGAGATCAAATAACAGACCAAGTCTGACATATAGAACCAGAAAGAGACAAATACCAGAAAGAGACAAAAGGCCTTTGGATGTCACCCGTTGGGCAAGCAACCCATTGTGATGGATTATATCTGTGGTAGCAAAATTAGATAATCAAGAACTTCCAGACCAGTACCCTACCTAGGGGGAGACACCAAATATGTATGGAATGATTGCTTAATGCCCACCAGTGGCTCACACTGGTAATACAGCAGTGAACAAGATGAAAATCCTCTCTAACAAGGGGTTCTAGTTGGGGAAACAAGCAATGTACAAAGAACACCTAAGCGTAGGTGTGAAGTCAGGTAGTGAAATGGGTGCTGAAGGAAACCAAAGCAAGGTGGGTTGCGGTGGATGATCAGGATGGGCCACTCTGCGTAGATAGCATGTTAGTGGGGAGAAGAGGGCTCCAGAAAAGGGGACAGTGAGGCAACCACCCATTTCAGAGAGCAGGTCATCTTGGTGTGCTGGATTAGTGCAGCATTCTGTGGAAACAGACCAGATGCTGCTCCAGGACACGGGGTGATTCAGATTTGTCTTATTTGTCTGGAGTAAATTTAATCCATATGAAATTTGTATTTTGAATGAAACGCTCTAACCTAATTTGTGAATTACTGTTATTTTCTCTGGTCTCATATTATGGAAAATAACTCTTTATAATCACACTATTTGCAAGTGTTTTGCTCCTAGCAATAAGCTCTTCTTCCCTGTCTCAGATACTCAGTTTCATCAGCACCAGAAAGTTTGGGATGTTTTTCAGATGAGTAAAGGACCAGGTAATGTTTTCCTTTTCTTTAATGTTTTTTTCTTATTTTTGAGTTTCCATGCTAAACTGAAAATTAGTTTATATTTTGGTGATTTAAAAATGCTTAGCAGTAGGTTCCTCTCAAATCTCTTTTCTTCTAAAAGGAGGTGATTGAGAACCATATTGGGGGTGCTGGATCAGAGCATTTGACTTGATCATTACTGTTCTGGAACTAGATAAGCTGGGAAGCGGTTGGGGACTGTCTGCAGATGTATTTATTGAAGACATGATAGCTCCCTTAAATTTTCTTTTCACTTTGACAGATGAAGACATTGATCTTTTTGATATGGAACAATTCAAAAGGTCGTTTAAGAGAGTCCTTCAGAGAACATTAAAAAATGTAAGAACAAAATTTACCTGAATTTTCATGAAATTCAATTTAATGGCATCTCTTATCCTTAACATTCACTACCACATTTTTTTTAAGAAAGAAACATTCCCTTAGTAACATCCCATTCTCTTCTATTCCACCTCAAAGACAAATACTAATTCTTGGGAAAACTTTCCTCTTACCTGTTAATTTGGAGACAAATGCTCTATAAGAATAGCACCATCCAGCAGAACTCTGTACAGCGGACTGGTTCTTTGTTGCTGCTGCCTGACACCAACCAGCAGCCACGCGTGGCACTGAGCATGCACAATGGCTGAGTGCTGCCACTGTGTCACAGGGAAGCTGGCCGACGAGCCAGGAGGGCCATCGCTGCAGCAGTCGCTTGTTGCCATTCCACTTAACAGCCTCCCTGACTCAGTCTCCTCCTTCCTGGGTTTGCTTTCACCTTCCTTGCCCAGAGGCAGGCCAAAGCTCGGTCACATTCACCACACTCTGATCACCCGCGCTGTGGAACAGTGTCCCTGCCTTGTCACGCAGACCCCTGGGCCTGTCTTTCCATCTCCCTGCCCCGTCTGCAGCATCTGCATCCTCCCTGCTTGCTCACTTGTCCCTGAACTTATGTTCTCGCTACCTTTCCTACAGTGGCCATTAGTGCCTGGGATCCACCCCATGACCTTGGAGCACCGTTTTGGAATGGCAGGATGTATGAAAATGTTAAGTGCTCTGTTACTTCTCCCAAGAAAAGCTTACATGTAGACTCAAACATCCAACTATGCCTAGATTCAAGGAGGCCAGAGACCCTCCATTTGCCCCTATTTAAAGGACGCCCACTCTGGGCTAAAGAGACTACATAAGTAGATGGAATATTACCACTTTTCTCCATCTAATAAAGCACCTCCTGCATTCAGGCTAGATTTTACAGGCATTTGTGGTGTTGTATCATGACACAAAGAGGCTGTTCAGAGGAAGAGCCTGTCCTCTTCCATTCGGGCCAGCAGAGACCTGCTGAGCACCTGTTGGGCCATGCATGGTGCAGCTTACTTAGCAAGGGCAGACACCCCACCACATCTCTGACTGGGGAGGGGGCCTTGTCTGATGCACCAGGGGAACTTTGGAATGCAGCCAGATAAATTTAGAGTCAAAGAAACTGCCTCCTTTGCTCCTATCATAATCATATAATCACTTGGTTTTGCAGGAGTAACAGACAGGGGTAAGAAATAGAGAGACCTGGGCAAGCCAGGTACACCTGTCTCAAGTGCCTTCCCTTCAGGGTCTGAGCTCCAAGGAGACTCTGAATCCATGGGGAAACTAATAATGTTAGAATGGCCTATTAAATCTCAAACTAACTGGCAATCCTATTTAAAAGTTTAGAGCAGTGTGTTTTACACATGAAATGAAAACCAAGAATTCGCTGCAGTCTCACCATAGAACTTTGCTTTAGAATAGTTTTTAAGCCATCTGAGCTAAATGCATAAGCAAATTTAATAATGCCATTACTACACAGAAATATTACTATAAAGCTTTTTATAGTGCACACCAGATCTGTGCTCAATGCTGAAAAGACTTCCTTATAAAGCAAGCATCTCATTTGTAAGGCTGCCCTCAGAAACACTGACAGATGGAGAAACAGTTCATCAGGGTAAGCCCAAGAAATTATTGATGTTATACCAACTGCCGGTTTCTGGTTTTTTTGTTTGTTTGTTTTTTCTTCCTAAAGAGAGCATGATATAGACGTATCTTTACAAAACAAACACAAAATATTTCCCAGAGACCCTCCACCCCCAACACTATAATGAAAAGTAGAAGAGACCTCCAGATCTCAATGTGTGCAAGATTACAGTGATGTCCTTTCCCCACTGTACCTGTGGGGGCTGTGCTACAGTGAGATTTCTCATTGGAAAACTGAAATCTTCTTTCAATAAGGTGACAGTCAACTTCAGAGATGCTGAGGAGGGCGCAGTGTGGATTCGAATTGCCTGGGGAACACAATATAAAAAGCCAAACCAGTACAAGCCTACTTACATGGTGTATTATTCCCAGACTCCTTATGCCTTCACTTCTTCCTCCCAGCTGAAGAGCACTATACCCCTTCTGGGCCAGGTATGGAATCAATTACTATAAGTTATAATATTTTATGACTCTTGTCTCAAAGGGCTTGACTTGTTCAATAAGCATGAGATTAAATGACCACATAAAACTCTTGATTTCCTGCAATAAGAAGCAGAAACTTTTGCAGTTCTGCAAGTGGGCATACAGCATAGCATAGGTTTAGCGCTCTTTGTGTCTTAATCTAGAAGTGAAGTCTGCTTAATGTGAAAAATTAAATCAGTACAAAGCTCTAATGATAAACCTTTTATTCCTTCCCCCAAAGCCAGCTATTCAAAATAACTACTATAGCAGTTTTGCTATTCCCTTTCAGAAGATGTTTTATAGAAAAACCATACAGTTGCTATAATTTGCTTTTCTAACTTACCAGAACATTTCCATGTGGTTACACATGAATGTACCATACAACCTTTTCATGACTGCATAATTTGCCCATTATTGAGCATTATTTTCATTTGTAACTATTTTCCTCACATTTTATACACAAGAAGATAGCTTTCACATAAGATGTTTTCTCTCTTCAGAGCCTACTTTTTACAGTTCTGGTTCTTTTTATGGACCTTTTATATCACTGGCTTCCTAGCATCTTACTTCCAAAACAAGATTAAATTGGCCTGGTGACTGCTGCTGTGTCCACTACCTATTAAAATTCACAACTACAGGGGCACCCAGATTAACTCAGTAGCTGGTAGGTGAGCAGCTCTGCCATCTGACTGTATCAGCTGCCGTGCAAGCACCAGGCACTCCAGGGAATGGACTCAGTCAACTGGCAGAGCCCACTGGGCAGACTTGCTTGTCCTAGGTCCCTGGCTACTTATTAAAACAGAGAAAGATTTCCACTGCTGCTCACTTCTACTTCCCTGTTAACACTTAAGTCTACTCCTTAACCTGTGGGGTCTCCATGATATATAGCAATCTACCCTACAACTAGGTGAGACCACCCTGCACAGTTACCCCAAAAGCTAATGCTCATTTCTATTGTGTATCTTAAGACAAATTTTACTGTCTTGTCCAGGTAAATATCTTATTCTGTTAATTCTAGGTCAGTCTTCAAACCTGTTTCCCCAAACATGAAAGCTTCTATAAGTTATATTTAATATGTGCTTTCTTCTTAAGTATTTGCCTGGAAGCATACACATTTACATTTCTGAGTGACAGATGTTACTGTGATATTAGATGACTAGTAATCTAAAATGGTCTTATTTTTGTATGCATTTTTTATTCTTAGGTCAAAATTTATAATTCTTAACTTTAAACAGGATCAGTTCCTGAAAATGATTCAAAAGACTGCCTTTAAAAGTCTTAATGCCATGGCCCTCCCTGGTGGCGCAGCGGTTAAAGCACTGCACTAAGAAGCTTAAGCCAATTCCGCATGAGTTCGATCCCGCCTGCCTGCCCCGGAGATCCACATGGCGAGGCAGACCTCTCCTGACCCGCCCGCTGCTCCCCTCAGCAGTGTACTTCGTCCATCTGCCTGTTCTGCTCCCCACTCTGTTCCTGGTGAATCCTCTCACCCTCCGCATCTCTGGCCTGTACCCCAGTTCTGTATGAGAAAAAAAAAATTTTTAAAAAAAAAAAAAGTCTTAATGCCATTAGCCACTTTTGTTGTTGTTGTTTTTTTTAAAGCTGAGTAACAGGCCATAAGATTAAATATTTTCTGGATTTCTTTTTAGTCTTAGGTAGAAACCATTTATTGTAGCTTTTGCATTTTACTTTTACAAATATTACAGACACAAGGAAGGCAATCCTAATAATCTTTTCATTTTCATTTCAAGGCATTGACAGTTGCTAGCAAATACCATCAGATTGTGAAAATGGACCTCAGAAGCCGATATCTGGACTCTCTTAAGGCTATTGTCTTTAAACAGTATAATCAGGTGAGACAATCAGTGACCCCTTAAAAACAAGTCTCCATTTTCCCTTTCACAAATGAGCTAGAAGTCACTGGGCAGGTTGGGAAATTCACCTCCAAAAAAGACAGATCACATCAGTATTTCTAAGTGGAGAAAGATTTCAGTTAGTTAACATGAAAGTAAACAAAATAATTTTTGTAAACAATTTTTCACTGTCTTTTCATCATTTTATTTTATACTGACACTGCTTATTGTTTATTGCTTATATAGATCTATTTCTAAATCAGCTATTCCAATTAGAATTTATTCTCCCTTTAGAGTAACTTGACCCACGTTCAAAGCTAATTATGTATTATTTATACAAGAGAAAAGTAGAAGTAATTATTTGTCCCACCAGCCAAGAAGGTGGTTGAGGGGTTAGAGGTAAAGGAGAAAGCACTGATTTATTTGTTAAAATATCTGAATGCATTGTTACCCTTTAATGATGAGAATATTCAAGTCTCAGTGTTTTGTTTCCTTTCTATGGCCTGTTTAGACATCTATGGGTAGATCATTAATATTCTCCATCTATCAGATATATACATAATTTCATCTAGCCTAAGTAGGTAGAAGCAATGTGATTCTGCAGGCTACTCTAAGAGAGAAAAAATCTACCTTCAAGAAGTTAAGTGATGGGCCCTCCCTGGTGGTGCGGCAGGTTAAAGCACAGCACTAAGAAGCTAAAGCCACTTCAGCATGAGTTCAGTTCCCACCTGCCCCGGAGGTGACCACATGGCGTGGCAGACCTCTCCTGACCCGCCCACTGCTCCCCTCAGCAGTGTACTTAGTCGATCTGCCTGTTCTGCTCCCCACTCTGTCTCTGGTGAAGCCTCTCGCCGTCCCTGAGCCTCTGGCATGTACCCCAGTTCTGTATGTACAATAAATAAATCTTTAAAAAAAAAAAAGAAGTTAAGTGATGACTCTCACATAGCAACCCCCCTACTGAATTGATACTGACTGTTCTGACAGTTGTGTTCCTAGGAAAAAAAGTTACCTTGTCAAATAATTGTATGAAGTAAAATAGCTTCAGTGGCAGATAATGAGAGAAGAGGGTTGAGAGATTCAGACAAAGAATCAAAAAGTTAGCTTTCCAAATGGAATCTCAGTGAGTTTCTTACAGTTCTAAAGATCTAGATGAAAAGCTGAGCCATCACAGTGTACACACTGCTTTTGAATCCACACTGTCCCCCAGCTTTTGCACCCATTGCCTATACTTCTTCTGCACCCGTGATTCTGTTAAAACGCATAGCCATGTTGTTGACCCCCACAGTCTCTGCCAGCAGACTTCTACTCTCGGAGAAATAATCACTCAATGTGAATATGACACAAATTTCTTATTGTCAAGAAAGATAGAAATCAGATTTGACATACTTTTATGTACTAAAACCATTTAACAGCTGTACTTCAAGGTGTTAAAATTAGCAGTACATTCACTTTCTTATTTTTTTTTTTCCTAGACGTTTGAAACTCACAGCTCTGCTACGCCTCAACAAGAAAGAAGCCTTGGACTAGATATGAATAGTACGTGTGTTTGAATATAACAGTGAAATTTGGAAGTCCAGTCCTTTTCTGGATTTCTGTCATTCAGTAAAGCATTTCTGTGCTGGGATTATTTATTGCCTTCAGTAGGATTTAAATTGAAATTTCTACTGAAGGAAGAAAGCTAAGTTACCACTGGTCTCTTTTAGAACTTACTAGAATGGCATATAATAACAACAACAAAAAAATTCTCCAGTAGTTGCTAAGCATTTATTTTGTGCCAAGAACCTTACTAAGATGTCTTGATGTATTGGCTTCACAGTAGCCCCATGAACAAGCCCTATTCATCAGGAAACTGGGTGTCAAAGAGGGTTAGCTTGCTAGGCAAATTCATACTGCTAGGGCTTGTCAAAACCAGGCACGAAATCTGAATCTGTCTGCTTCCACCGCCAGATCTTAATGTGCTGTGTAAACCGCTTGAATAATCAGAATTGTGACTGGTCACTGCTCACAAATACCATGAGTCTCCCTAGAAAACCCAGGAGAATAGAGTGAGAATAAAGTGGATCCAAATGTTCAAAGAAATAGTGGGATACAATATAAATTTACGAAACTGAAGATTTTCCTATTAGCAGTGATTTGGCAATGAAATGAAGGAATGAAATCTTTTGATGATTCCAGGAGCATAAAAACTGCTAGTGAATTCATGTTAAGTAAAGAAAGCAGAATATAAAATTATGTGTTTTATAATACCAGTTTAAAAAATACATATCATTTTATTCACTGAAATAAAGGGCTAGACAGAAACATATTAAAGTAGCTGACAGTGCTTATATTTGTATGGTAGAATTATGGGTGATTTTTCTTTTCTTTTTTTTCAACCAGCCTGTGTTTTCCATAGTAAGAAATGATTACAATCAAGAGAAGAAACAGCAAACATTATTTTTAAATTATACAAACAAGTTGAAAGGTCAGGGATGAAAGGAAGTTACTTTAAGGATGAAATATATTCCTAACAGCTGTTTCTTTTGAAATCTTCCATCTCTAGTGGATTCAAGAATCATTCATGAAAACAGAATGGAAAAACAGAGAGTCCAAAGAGTGACCGAAGAAACGTTTGGAAACTATCTTCAACCCAGACTGGAATTTGCACAATATAAGGTAGGCCATCACTATTAACATTAACTATAGCTATAAATACTTTTTACAAATAACAACTTCGACGGGGAAAACAGTTTTAAGAAAAATATTTCATTTTTTCATGCATCGCTTCAATTTTATATAATAAATTTATGAGATAAAATATACTACTTTATCATATTTACAAGTTCTCATTAGCAAAGGAGACCTTTGGAAATTTTGAATTTGCCTTCCTGTTCACCTTAACATATTAATTCAGTTATGTATAACTTACTGATCTGTATTTTTAAGGGGAAAAAAATTGTAGGTTCTTCTTTTCTAGTCTAAAATATCCATACCTAGAATAATACTTGCACATAGTCAGGATTCATAAACACTTGCTGAATGAACAAGTGAATAAATAAGTCATTCCATAGCCCAGCTGGCATCACAGGGAGAAAAACCAGTAGCTTAACCAGTATGGCAAACACACTACTGTTCCAGAAGTGTGACTTGCCCGCAGGAAGGCCAGGTGAGGGCTAGCCTCTTCGAAAAACTCAAGGTTTATATCGTCATCACCCTGAGTCCATGCTCACACCCCTGCCCTCAGAAACCCTCCGATAAAACTCTCTCTGCTTCACCTCCCTGTAGCTACTGGCCACATATTAATGCCGCCTTCCACACATTCACTCAGGCTCAACACCCATTGGATTCGATTTTAGTGGAAAAAGCTGACTGACTCCTTTCAAGTCAAGTTTCGTGGATGGCAGGTTTTTACCCAGTTCCTTTAAATAGCTCATATTCTGGGATAGTGGTTCCTCAAGTGTGGTTCCTGGACCAGCAGTAAATGGTTAAGAATTGCAGATTCATGGTCACTTACCACTCCTAGTGGGTTAGGAGCTCTGGAGACAGGACCCAGCTATCAATTTTCACAAGCCCTCTAGCTGATTGTGCACACTGGAATAAGAGAACCACCGATCGAGAATATGTACAGTTTAATCTGTAAAACTTCCCCTTGTACACACCTCAGAATGGCTTCAGCCTGTAAGTTGGGGTGCACATTTACTCATCCCTACTACTAATTTTTCCTTACCATTTCTGTTATGAAAAGTAACATTGCCATGGAAGTGCATTTCCCTTTCAATTCACTGTCTTAACATTTTGCCACATTTTCTTTCCTAATCGCTCATTATTCTAAACCATTTGAGTGAGTTGCAGGCAAAATGTACCCTTCTGCATACTGCTCTTAAATTTTAAGGATTAGTGCCCTCCCCAGTGGTGCAGCTGGTTAAAGCACAGCACCATGAAGCTGTCTGAAGTGACTGCAGCATGACTTGGATCCCAGCCAGGGAGCTGACCACAATGCACAGCAGACTTCTCCTGTCTGCCTTCTGATCCCCTCAACAATGTATTTTAGTCAATCTGCCTGTTCTGCTTCTCACTCTGTCTCTGGTGAATCCTCTCACCACCACCACCACCACCCCACCTCTGGCCTGTAACCTAATTCTTGTATACATAAATAAATCTTTAAAAAAAAAAATTGAAGATCACTTTGAGTAAAAAAATAATTTGAAATTAGAATCTAAGAGCCAAGTGCCTAATGAAGCAGTAGTACTTGGATAGTTGATGATAGTAAGGAATCTTTTACTAGTATTTTTAACTGTGGTAATAGTTATAGGGTTAAATTTTTAAAAGAGTTCTTTTTAGGTCTCTTAATATGTACTAAAATATTTGCAGCTGGAATACTATAACATCTTGGATTTCCCTCCAAATACTCCATTTGGGTTGAGCAGTAGGAGTGAGAAGTGGGATAAGAGATGAAACAAACATGATGGTTGCAGTTGAGTGAGTGATGTGCACATGGGACTTATTATATTGTGCTCCTTATTTTTATGTATTTTTGAAATCTTCTGTAATAAGAAACTAAAAAGAAATTGTGCTAGCAGCTCAAAAGACATGACATTTCTATTTTGAAATGACAAGTTCCATTTTCCATTAAGAATGCAAACTTAATGCTCAGGTAAAGGTTATCCAAGGGCAGAATTGACATCCATATGTCCCTTGACATTTTGTGTGTTCTTAGCATAGGCTTACCTTCCATGCTTGCTATTAGCAAAATCTTATTGCATCATATTTTTGTCATTCTAAATGATATATGTAATAGTCATTTATAAATATATTTGTTGACAGCTTGAAACAAAATTCAAAAGTGACTTAAATGGAGGCATCTTGGCTGAGAGAGAGGAGCCCCTCCGGTGCCTAATAAAGTTCTCCAGCCCACATCTTCTGGAAGCATTAAAATCCTTAGCACCAGCTGGTAAATAAAAGAAGTAACAATATACTGTTGATCCTTCCATTGCTGACTAATGATCTCTCATGGCTCTCTGGTGAGCTTTCTCATGGCTCTAGGCAGCTACCCCATCATGCCTTATTTTGCAAATCCTGCTTCTTGGTTTAATGGAGTCCATGATCCTCCCTAGTCATGGCCATTTTTAAACTAACCTAAATCTTTGCCATTGTATTTATTTTTTTTTCTTTTCTGTTTTTAATTTCAGGTATTGCAGATGCACCACTTTCTCCACTGCTCACCTGCATACCCAACAAGGGCATGAATTATTTTAAAATTAGAGATAAATAAGGTGTGTGTAGTATTGTAAGCACAGTAACTCTTTGGCTTTATTGTGCACACATTTCAGTTAAAACTAACTGGATAACTTCTGTCTATAAACTTGTGTTATAAAATTAACCCTTAATTTTAACAATTAAACATTCACATGGTTGTTGGGACTTGTTCTTTCCTACCCCATTCTCTCCTGTATCCTGCAAAGCATAAAAGTGCGGGCCTTTAAGATGTACAAGGACATATAGATGGCTCCAGACTTGACCCTGAATGTCTGAATGCTCTGGAGCATATGATACACTGGTTTATATACCTGGTATCCTTCCCTTTTCTGTCTCTTCCCCAATCCTGGGAAGATCTGCTTCCAATTTTTGGTTTCCAAGGATCTCCTCATAAACCTTGGATTACAAAAAGTACCACAAAACTGAGGATCCTTTAATTGGTCCAGTTCAGAGGGTAAGCTTGTATCCACTAAATTTTGATTGCTGGAGTAACATATTAGATGACTCAGTTATACGAAATACTTGTTTTGGTGTAAATATACTTTTCATGCTCTGTTTTATCATGTATGTGGCATTCAAACTCACCGATATTATATATGGACTTCTGAATAAAGATATTTAAAACTGGTACTCAGTTGTGATGAAAGTTCTTCAGTGATTATAACTAAATAGAATGCCCTTTTATAATAGCATATTAAGTATAGTCCCTTTCCTGTTCTACAAATGATTAGGGTTATAAACTCCTTTGCAGAACAAGATAGGTATAACAATATTGTTATAAACATGTTATAGTTATCGAAGTAAAAGGTAAATAAATCTGGGTAAATGGGATGACAGAATAAAGCGAGGGGTAAAATTACCATTTAAGGATGTACATTTATGATGTGCAAGTAGTCATCCAGCTTCTAGAAGTAGATTGAAAATTGGGAGTGGAGTTATTAGCCATTGACCAAAGCAGAGAAAACACCAATTTGTGAAGTAAGATACTTCAAAACTGGCACATCTGTCACTTTTGATGCAATCAATATACAGGCCTAGGATACAGATGTATAAGGCCCTCTCTGGTGGTACAGCAGGTTAAAGAGCAGCACTGCAAGTGAGCCACAGCACTTCAGCACAAATTCATCCCCTGCCCCAGAGTGAACCCACATGGTGCAGCAGACCTCTCCTATCTCGCCCACTCAGCAGTACTTCCTCAGTCTGCAGTACTTCCTCAGTCTGCTCCTCACTCTGTGGTGAATCCTCTCACTGCCCCTGCACCTTTGGCCTATACAACCCAGTTATGTATGTATAAATAAATAAATCTTAAAACAAAATACAGATGTATAATGTGGCTAAACAGTGTTTTAGATATAATAGTATTATCTATATATTATAGATATATAAAATACATTTTAGATTTAATTCACTCATGGCAGATTAGTTATTTCAGAATGAGACACTGAGTCCAAAGGACTTAGTAATGTTAATTTCCTTGCCAACCATCATAGTTGTTTAGAGTACCTGTCCTGTGTGCACACACACAATAGCTCTTTGGTTCCCTACTGCCTTTCTTAGGTCTACACAGAGTCCTTGCAAGTCCCCGGGCTATCAGACCTCCCTGGTGCTTAGAAGGATATACAACTGGAGCCAGAATAGAAAAGTCACAATTGTATTATGCATCCTATAGTAGCATCACTGAGGCTGGATCCTGCAGCCCTCCCAGACAGAGGCTCCAGCTTAAGGAGATAAGAACACGTGTGTTTGATGCTCCAGAGACACTGCATTCAAATTAAGCCTTGGGAATAGAGTAGTAAATCCAGACGCAGGTCCTATGCAGCCAAAGGAATTTACTGCACATTTGGTAGGATCTCCAAAAATGAACACTCATATGTGGCAGGCACTGGGCTAAGTATTTTTATTTCTTATGCATTATCCATTTTCAGCTTTTAATATTTAAGTAAATCTAGCCTCCCTAAAATGAATACAGCAATCATTTCACTTGTATAATATGACCCAGGATAAGTTACTTCTCAGCAAAATGGGGATAAACTTACAGTATGTACCCGCTAACGTTTTAAGGACAAAAAGAGGTGCAATGAGAAGTGTACCCCTCCCCCGCTGTAATAAATGATAACGTAATGAATGTACCATTGCCTCTCCCGACCTTGAACACTTAGGTTGTTTTAAAAAATTGGGAAGTGCCTGAGCACAGTCCTTTTTCTTCTATCAGCTATTTAAGTTCCTAGGAGGAGAAAGAATCAGCAGTACCAGTGCCTTTAGCCTGTCACCGGAACCCAGGTCAAGTTTTGCAACCGGCCGGCTTCACCTGGCCGGGGTTCTCTGCAGGCGTTCCCTTCCTGACCAGTAGGGGGCGCCGAGGCCGCCGCCGGATGCTAATGAGTCGACCAGCCCCGCCCCTGCCGGAAGTGGCTGCGGCAGGAGGCGGGACCTACGAGCTCGGCACGGCTGAGGAGTGGGAGCCATGGCGGCTTCTGAGGCGGCGGCGGCGGCGGGGCCCGCGGCTGTGGCCTCGGGCGCCTCGGCTGTCTCGCCGGCCGCCGCCGCCTCGGGCCGGTGGGAGCCTCCCGGACGGCTGAGGGGTAGCCGCCCTCGACCCACGACCGGGAGGCAGCAGCCGCCCACGAGTCCGGCACCTCCGGCCCGGGAGCTGATCCAGCCGTCGGTGAGCGAGCTGTCCCGGGCGGTGCGGACCAACATCCTGTGCACCGTGCGCGGCTGCGGCAAGATCCTGCCCAACAGCCCCGCGCTCAACATGCACCTGGTCAAGAGCCACCGTCTGCAGGTGAGCCGACGCGGGGACGACGCCTCCGGGCCTGGCGCCCACGAAGCGCCCCGACAAATCTCGGGGGCCGGGGCGCGGGGTCGCGCTACCGGGATGGCGCTGCCGAGGGCGGGAGGCGCGGGGGTTGGAAGGCGACCCCCACCCGGGCCGGCCTCGCGGGGGCTGCGGCGCCTCGGACAGACGAAACGAAGCGGGGAGTCCCGGCTGGGGAAAGTGGTAGCCCACACGCCGGAGCGCGTAATAATGGAAACCCTGTGTCATGCCACCCCGCTGTCAGGCTCGGACGATCCAGCACTCCGGGCCGCTTACTTCACGGCGCAGGCATTTTACACATTTATCTACTGCGTTCTGTGAGGGACGTATGCTTCGCTTTCTGCTGATGAGAAACATTACGCAACCCGAGTGTGCTGGGATTTAAACCCGGTCTCTGGTTCTGACGCCTGTGTGCCTTCCACCACACCCACGGTTACCTCCCTCGGGCCTCTGGGTCCTGTCGGTCGTTAGAGAGCTGCGGCTTTGGCCAGGCTCCGGCAGTTGCAAGTTTCAAGGTGTCGCTGAGGGAAATTCCCCCCGTGGAACTTCTGTCGGAGGGGACGCCGTGTAATAACGTGACAACCGTCCGAACGGCCCTTCCACGTTAGGTAACGCGGGCGGTGATCTCCAGCCGTCAATCTGCATCTCTGGAAAGCCTAGTAAAAGATGTCCGACCCCACCCAGACCTATTACACCGTAATTTCTCAAGGATTACAATAAGAAGTTGCCCTCTGCCTCCTCTTAGAGGCTGTGTCAACTGTGACAAAAATCCCAAAGCTCATTATTGAAAGCGATGTTGTGAATATGTGGCAGGCTTTATGCTCTTAAGTGATTTCAGGAGTCAATGTAAATTACCTAGAGTGGTGCATGTTCTCGCTGTCCTTAAGGTAAATTCTCCTTGCCTAACTTCCCGAACAGGATTTTGATCAGAGTAACAGCAAAAAGTTTGAGGTTCCCTTTTAGCACCAACTAAACAAAGATGCAACCGAATTTTCCCAGAGGATCAGGGACCCCAATCAGGAAATGTACCTGGAGGTAAGCTGAGGAGGGGCTGATATTTTCCTCAGAATAGTTTGTGTTTCTTCCAGAATGCAAGTGCAGTAACTGTGCGAATGCTCTTCAGTCTGTTTCTCTTTCATACCAAATTTTAACTCTTTCCTTGTCTTAATTATATTTTGACTTGAGTGGATGAACTGGAGGAATTATTTGTAGGAATTTACAACCTAATCCCTTGGCAACCCCCCCCCCACACCTTCTTTTTAGCCCATATACAACAGCCATCACCCACCTTCAGTTTCATCCCCTCACTGATAAACAGCAAAGGCAGACTATACTCTAAGCCTGCTGGACCTGGACCCCCCTTGTAGTTGGTTTGAGTGTTACTCTTAACAGGCACTTCTTAGCAGTGTGGATGCTGCTTTTATCTGGAATTGCTGTGCAGTCAGGATCCTTTCTGAACTGAGATCATTGAACACAAAAACAGACATACTACATTGTCAAAATAAGAATTAAAGAAATCCCCTACAGCCCCTTCAAACATTCCTGCCTTGTTCTGCCTTTCGAACGACAGTGCAAAATAGCCATGGAGCATCTGCCATCTTGGTAGAAGGGGGATTTTTTTTCCTTAGCCAGAGTCACTTGTGTGACAGAGCAGCAGCAACATCCTTAGGGTGGCACATCAGGTGATAAATCTGAGTAGAAGTGCTCTTCGATTTAAAAATTCGTCCTGACACATGAGGTACTAATAAGGAAGAGGCCTAGAGACAAGTATTAGGGACTCCAGGTATTTTTGAAGTTGGTGTGTTCAGACCAGAGAGACTCCAGTACCAGTTGAATGTGCAGCCCCTTTTCTACCAGAAGCTAGTCCTGAGTGAATCAGCTTAGCAGATTAATTTAATATTTCATTTGCTTGTTAATTTCTTGCAATGTTCAGATTTCTTTCCTTGTTTTAATATTTTCTAAGTTATGATAAAGTCTTATATTCTTTTTCCTATGTATTGCTATCTAGTTTTCATTCATTCTTCACAATATATCCTACTACGAACCAAACACTCACTTCTCTCTTTTTGTTTTTAAGAATCAAAAAACTCATGGGCCTTCCTGATGGCACAAGGGGTTAAGTCTCAGCACTATGAAGTTATTGGCAGCTATTGAAGTAGTGTTCTATTCCCCACCAAGGAGGTGGCCCACACATGGTGCCGCAGACCTCTCTCCCACCCCACCCTCCCCTTAGCAGTGTGTTTCAGTCAATCTGCCTATTCTGTTCCCCATTCTGTATCTGGTGAATCCTCTCACCTTTTTGCACCTCTGGCCTGTACCCCAGTTCTTGTATGCATAAATAAATAAATCTTTTTTTAAAAGAATTTAAAAATTCTTAATACCATTAAAATCAGTACATCGAGTTCATTTCAGTACCTTTATTGCCAAATCCAGGAGCAGGAATTGCTTCAGTTTTCTCTGCCTTCTACCCAAGTACAAAAAGTATTTATGGCAATGAACTTTAAACATAACCCTATCATTGTTTTTCTTGATCTTGTATTTTGTATTCTTTCACCTGGCTGTGAGAAGTAATCCCTTGATTTCCTCAGTTTTGTGAGACATGGTTACCAGGTGTGCAAGTCAGTGGTTAAAAAAAAAAAACAAGGGGGACAGGAAAGCTCAAATATTCCCTTTCTAATGTGAATGATTAGCAAACTCTTCTGAAAGATGGTTAAAAGTGTTGAAATTGAATTATAAGGTAGAGGGTACAAGGTGCCTTTTTGTTTTAAAATACAGGTCTGTAGTCCATTTCCTATAAGGAAGTCTGGAAACACCCTAGTGTAGCCTTAGCTACATGAAAAAAAAGGAAAGCTGGTGACTCTGGGGGAGGAAGAATAGGAGTAAATGTGGTACAGGCCAGAGGAGAAGGGGTTAAAGGATTCACCAGACAGTAGGGAACAGAAAAGGCATATGTGCTGAAATACACTACTGAGGGGAGCAGTGGGCGAGACAACACAGGTCTGCTGTGCCATGCCGGTCAGCTCCCTGGCTGGGGGACCAAATTCATGGACAGCTTTCATAGTACTGCGCTTCAATCCATTGCACGACCAGGGAGGGCCCAATATTGATTTCTTAATAGAAATTCTATTATTCCTTGTATTTGAAAATAGTAAAAAGGGACAGGCAGGCCATTATCCAGCAACATCTATAGTTTTAAAACATGACTGTTGCATCAGGTAACACCACACTGATAAAGAAACGGGGAGTTGTGAAGCAGGCTACATACTGCAGGATGCTGCTGAAGAGCAAGGTCTCAGTTAGTATAATCACACAGCATCAGGTAAGTGGGGTAGGAGGACAAGGAGAAAAGTATGGGTGAAACTGAAATATATGTTTTTGTCATGTAGGGCTTTGGGGGACAGGAGTTTGTGACCAGATAATTATCTACTTTATGGTCAAGTGTTGTAATCAAAACCATATCTAAGACCCTGGGCCATGATTCTAATCTAATCAACAAGGCATTCCACTGATTGCCTTCTGGTCATACATCAGTCCTCAGCCTCCCAGAGTGTTCCCAGCCATACCTCAGGATGCATACCATTCTCAAAGTGATCAAGCTTTCTGTTCTAGATTTGAAAGGCACCTTGTAAGTAAGGTTTGGCTCCTATGACTGACTGGCTGGTTTCTGAAGGGCAGTTCTGACCTTATGTAGGAATGCAGAACTGCAGGTAACAAAATGATGGCCCAACAGGCCGCTTAGGATTAGCAGACTCTCACATGGCTTAGATGTTTTTGTGTTATCTTCAGCCCAAGGGTTTGCTTTTAATAGACAAGAAGTGTTCTTATTTGCATGTTTGTTTCTAAGGTAAGGGAAGTGGCTGTCTTCCATAAGAGTATTGTGCAAAGACTTCTAATGTTAGATTTACAATGGAAGACAACAAAATAAACTAGTTTTCTTCTTGGGTGTTTTTTTTTCTGTGAAGGTAGTCAGGTGCTAGAGTGACTATAATGCCTTAATATGTTACAGGGCAGGGAGAGGGGAACCCTAGATTCCCCCCAAACCTGCCCGTTTTAAATAGGTTCTGCCATCTGCTTCATCAAGACAAAACATATAAGACCTTTAATGGAAAGGAACTTTAGTACATTCAGTAAACAGAATAGAAAAGACAAAGAATATAGTTCCTAAATCCTGAAGTTACCCATCCTCTCAAAAGGGATTGGGCCAAAGCAAGACCTGAAAGCCCACCACAAGTCTAAAGCACCTTCCAGCAGGGGCTCATAGAAAAGGGTAAGAAACAGCCAGACAAGTCTGGATGGAAGAGAGCAAAATCAAGATAAAAGCTGCCACTTTTAACCTCTCCACAGGTCTCTCATCCACATCTGTTTCACCCAGTCCAGGGCCAAGAAGCAAGAGCCGCTTCTTCACATGTGTCGTCTCTGTTCTGTGTGCCTCCTCAGGTCTCCTGGCTCCATCCTGCTTGCTTCCTTCTCAGGTTTCCTTGCTCCATTTCTCCCTGCTCAGCTCCATCTTCCTCTAGAGGGTGGAACCTGGAACCTGGAAACATCCCTTTTCCTAGGCAACTCCCTGTTAAAGTTCCAGGAACCTTACAGTTCTTTTGGCCTTCCCTCCATTTTGTCCTCTTATTTTCTCCTCTTCTCCATGTTTACTTCCCCTGCCCATATTGTTTTCCAAATATTTCTTCCCAGGTTCTTTTTCTAATTATTTTCTTTAAAATGTTTCAGGAACATTTTATGAAAATTTTTTTACCTAACAAAGTTTTATACACATGCACCCCAAAAAACACACGAAATTAAGTGCTCTGTGTACATTTTTTTTTCATATAGATAAAAAGATAAAGTACAGAAAGTTCTGTAGACTTGAGTTTTGGATATATGTAGAACTTCAGAACAAAACCATCACTTTCTCACTGCAGTTCACATTTTATTTTGTGTCATTACCATTTGTCATTCCTCTTATTCTCATCTCAGCTGTTTGAGCTATTTGGACTTTTTATCTAAGGGTGAAAATGGGGGAAAGACCCTGGAACTGAGATGGAGAGGTAGTAGTGGGGAAGGCTAAGTCAAATATCAGAAAACAAGAAGTAGTTTTATGTTGTTGCCATGTCTACGAAACGTCAACAAAGGATTATTATTGTTCAGTTTGATTGTTTATTACTGTTTTTAGTATCTTATCCTGGTGCATGATACAGTTTTGGCTTAGATGACTTGAACACTGTATAATGCCACAAGTTTTAATTGCACATTTACTCTGTTCAAGCATTACCAAATGCAACTGAAGATACTAATATATTCCTTCCCTTGGAAAGATTTGGTGTACTTCAATTATTCTGTTAGGATAACACAGAAAGGACAGAAGAGAAAGGTAGTTTGAAGTTATATGCATAGTTGAGGGCTTTGAATGTCCCAGGGGAAAGAAATTTAGACTTGGAAAGTAATGGAGTGGTGTTGAAAATGTTTGAGATACTGATGTGATCAAAGATATATTCTAGAAATATGAATCTGGCCAAGTGAGAATGACTAAGAGATTACAGGTCTAGAATTAGTTAAGGGGTTAATGATAAAATCAGGAGGACCTGAACTACTGATGGTAGCATTGGAGAAGAGAAAGTAAAAAGGTGGTAGGAAACTTTTTTTTTTTTTAGATTTATTTATTCATACAGAACTGGGGTACAGGCCAGAGATGCAGAGGGTGAGAGGATTCACCAGAGACAGAGTGAGGAGCAGAACAGGCAGATCAATGAAGTACACTGTTAAGGGGAGCAGCGGGCGGGACAGGAAAGGTCTGCCTCGCCATGTGGATCTCCTTGGGGGGCGGGGATCGAACTCATGTGGAAGTGGCTTAAGCTTCTCAGTGCAGTGCTTTAACCCGCTGCGCCACGAGGGAGGGCCGGTAGGAAACATTTTAAAGAGAAGTAAATCTTTGCCAAAACTTGAAACAGCCAAGATATCCTTTGGTAGGTGAATGGACAAATAAATTTAATATATACATAGGATAATAGAATATTATTCAACCCAAGGGAGAAATAAACCATCAAGCCATGAAAAGATAGGGAAAAATTTAGATACATATACCAAATGAAAGAAGCTGATCCAAAATGGCTACAATTCATCTAGAAGGGTTAGGTGGAAGGATGGAACTTAGAGCATTTTTAGGGCAGTGAAAATACTCTCTGATACTATAATGATGGTGTCTGTCACTAATATATTTCTCCAGACTTACAGAGTGTACCACAACAAGAATGAACTCTTAATATCTAAGTATGAACTTGGGGTAGTAATGGTGTATCAACTGTAGGGTCATCATTTGTAATAAATACACCCTCTGGTTTAGGATATTGATAGTGGAAAATTATTGGGGACAAGGGGGTATATGGGAACTCTACATTTTTGATCTATTTGTTATGAACCTAAAACTTCTCTTAAAAATAACTATTTAAAACACATGCCTTTTGGGCCCTACCTGGTAGCTCAGTGGGTTAAAACACAGCACTAAGAAGCTAAAGCCACTGCAGTATGAGTTCGATCCCTGCCCTGGAGGTTACTCACATGGCACAGCAGACCTTCCTGACCCACTCGCTGCTCCCCTCAGCAGTATACTTTGTCAGTCTGTCTGTTCTGCTCCTCTGTCTCTGATGAGTCCTCTCACTACCCCTGCACCTCTGGCCTGTACCCCCATTCTAAATGCATAAATAAATAAATCTTTAAAAAGTAATAATAAGACACATGCCTTTTGCAGCAACATGGATGGAGCTGGAAAAGATCATGCTTAGTGAAATAAGCCAGAAAGAAAAGGAAAAATACTGGATGGTTTCACTCATAGCAGGAGTATAAAGGACAAGGCGAGAAAATAATAATAATAATGAACAGCTATGTACCAGAGACATTTTATGGGGTGGATTAGGGAATGGGATCAAAAACGGTGGAGGGAGGGAGTACACTGGACTATGGTGATGGCACACAGGTGATTTGGTGATGGGAAGCCCACGGGGATTACAACTCAGATGGGAAAAGACACAAAATGATGTAAAAAATAAACTATATAAAAAAAACTATTTAAAAAATGAAATGAACAAGTGTATGGGAATATGATAGTAAGCCTAAGGGATAATAAAAGCATTGCTGAGTAGAACTGAAGATATATTAGAGGCAAACATGAATTTTATGGTAACCTGTGGGCAGAGTTTACAGAATATTAGATAATCTAGAACAGAAAAGGGTGCCATCTTCTAGGTACGTAACTAAGTAGTATCCCTACATTTCATTTTCTCTCACCAGTAACACTAGCCAGGAAAAAAAAAAGTTTTTAAGTAATAAACAAATGCTAGACAAACTGGTGAATGGGATGAGTTTGGTACTGAGATGCAATCTCAGTTTACTAAAGCTAGCACTTGCCAGTGTTTTAACAAGAACAGCATTTCAGTCAGACTTTGGAACACTATTTAATGTGACTAGATGCGATTAGCTAAAGTCAGTTTTGTATGAGTGCAGGGCAAAAATACCCCCATCCCTCTGACTCTTTGACTGGATAAGCAGATAAATTAACATCAGACTGCTAACTAGTAGAACAGGAACAAATAGGATTGCATACCTTTGGATAATTTATATATATATATATGTTATATATATATATAACTGTAAATTCTAGAATAAATAATACAGATTATAGAGGTGTATTTTGTTAGGCACCAAGCATTGAGGAAAAAGAAGGGGATTTTATATAATTAGGATATCACCTCACCTTTGAGAATGACCTACATCAAAAGACTGGAGACAAGTGTTGGCAAGGATATGGAGAAAAACACTCATCTACTATTGGTGGGAATGTAATTTGGTACAGCCACTGTGGAAAATGTTATGATTTCTCCAGAAAATAAAAATGGACATACTATGTGATCCAGCAGTTCTATTCTAAGTGTTTACCAACTTGAAAGCACTAATTTATGTATCCCTATACTCAATTAGTACATTATTCACAATAACCAAGACATGGAACCAACAGGTGACTGAATAAAGAAATTATGGAGTTATACTCAGTGGAATTACACATAATTATACTAAATTATGGAATTAATAGAATAGTACTCAGCTGCTTATAAAAATGAAGTCATGCTTTTTGGATGGATCTTGAGCTGGTGAGGCTAAGTGAAATGTCAGAAAGTGAAAGTTAATGGATGATCTCACTCATTTGTGGAATATAAGTAACCACAGAAAACAAACTGGCAAAATAGAGCAAAAATAATTCTTAGACTCTAAAAATATACTGATTGTTAGGGTGGGGAAGGGAAAGTGATCAGACAGTAGCACTGGAGTTTTGGAGGTGAAGCATGGGCACACATGAAAGTGTCAAGTTGTGCTCCCCAAATTATGTGGTTTTATAATTGGAAAATGAATACCATTTGAGAGGGATAAAAGGACAGTCATTCAGAGATGGGCATGGAAGGTGGAATTAGAAGTGTGAAGAATCTTGGGCTGAGAGGGTACAAGTGAATAGTAAATGCTATGGTTATAATGCTAAGTGGAAGGAGTTGATTCTACATACATTTTTGACAGCAGTAGGTGATACATACAAATAATTTTCTGTATCAGACTTCATATTAGAAAAGGAAGAAATTATTTAGGAGACCATTTATATTAAGTAAATGCAATTGATAATTGATAGCAATGAAAGCTGAATTGTACTGTTTAAATATCAAACAAGAATAGCTTCTTTCCCTTTCTAAATTATTGGAACACTGACCTAACAGGATCTACATGTTCTTCTTGATGCCCAGTTTGAGAGCAAAAGGGAGTCATAGCCACTTGATTATTAACTTCACTTTTCCAGATATACACTGATGATAGAGAAGAGGGGGCATGTTCCAAAAGTAATGAATCCTTTCCCATCAGAATACTAGAGAGCACCAGCAGCAGAGGCCCAAACACCATTCCTTTTGTTCCAGTGACTGAAGAGAGGTACATCACCTCACCCCTCAACCTCCTTTGGGGCCAAATGGTAGGGGCCAGAGTCAAGAATTATATTGGAGGTCATCAGGACTCCTCAGAGCAATAAGAAAGCTCTTCAAGCTTAATTAACTAAACAGTATTTTTTAAATTCCCACCAAAAAGTCTATCACAAATTTAATATCAAAGGATTATGAAGACTATATGAGTTTATATATGTGCAAACATATATATATTTAGTGTGCCTGACACTGTAATAAAAGCTATCTTGTATTTGCCATTATAATGGTAATACATTTCATACCTTGTCTGCATTCAGACTGCTTTGTAACCATTGTGTAATGTAGCTTTAGCCAGTTTAGGGGCAATGTGATACCAGATCAGAGAAAGCCACAATAATATTGGATGGCCTAGATCATAGTCAGAGGAAGACTTTTTCAGGCTCTAAGACACTAAGATTGGGATAGAAGGGAAGACATAGGGATGACACCAAAATCTTGAGCCGTGTCAACATGATGCACTTACAAATTCTAGCTTTTAGGGCAGAGATTTTATATTAAGAAGGAGCGGCTGTAAAGAAAAGGACATAATTCTTAAAAAGTTTTAAAAATTGAGCAGATTTATTGAACTGTAGTTCACATTCTAATATTTACCCATTTTAAGTGAATAATTCAGTGTTTAATAAATATACAACCATCTCTACAGTAATTTCAGAACATTCCTGTCACGCAAACAAAGACGACCTTATGCTCACCTTCTATTGTTCCTTGTTTCTCTCCCCAGCCTGTTTTATTGTTTTTTGGAAATAATTCAAAGTATTTTTTCTTTTGCAGGATGGCATAGTAAATCCAACAATAAGGAAAGATTTGAAAACAGTACCGAAATTCTACTGTTGTCCAATTGAAGGATGCCCCAGAGGTCCTGACAGGCCATTTTCTCAATTTTCTCTCGTAAAACAGGTATTTTATTCCCCTTCACGTAGTTCTCTAAGTACAAAATAGTGTTCTGACTAAATGACAGAAAGCTGCATGTGAACACAGCTATCAAAGAGCCGAGCCTCCCCATGGGGAAAGTGAATGGGTGTGAGACAGGTGACAGAGGAGGAGGCTTATTCTGGAGAGATGTCCTGGAGTGGGTTTGGTGAGAAGACACCAAAGTAAAGAATGAGAAAATGTGCTTACACATATTCTGTGTGAATCTCTATGCCTGCAAAGGCATTATAAAGACTTTCTAGCGACTACTCAGTAGATCACAACTTAAATGTTGGGTAGATATCTTGAATTGTTTCCAAAACCACCTCTGTTTTCACAAAGTAAACATAATGGGGAGAATAGGCATATTATAAACTCCAGTTTGTCTGGTTTTGATGTGGACTGTTCTGTTAGGTATGAACATCATTCTAATTGGGGTACGTTGACAGCTTTTGAATGTTCAGAGAAGTTACAATTCTCAGTTTAGTTCCTTTTGTGTTCTTCCTAGCACTTTATGAAAATGCATGCTGAGAAGAAGCATAAATGTAGTAAGTGCAGCAATTCCTATGGCACTGAGTGGGACTTGAAAAGACACGCAGAGGACTGTGGCAAGACTTTCCAGTGTACATGTGGCTGTCCCTATGCCAGTAGAACTGCATTGCAGTCCCACATCTACCGAACTGGCCATGAAATCCCCGCAGAGCACAGGTAAAGGGGAAAACTAAGGGTCCCCAAGTCACCAGCTATGAGAAGAGTTTCCAGCAAGACTTCCTGGAGGGAATCATTGCTATAGGAGAAAAGGAGAATGGAGAAACGGGTGATGCAGAAGAAGAAACGTTTCAGAATAGTAGCAGTACTAGCAAAGGCTCCACATCTTCTTGACCCAGTTTTTCTCCTTTTCATTTCTACCATTCCTTTTGAGGACCCCTTATTCTCCCATTTGAAAATTTCAACTTTCTGCATTTTCTTTTAGAGAGATGTTTGATTGTTGAAGAGTAAGTTTAATCATGAAGCTGTACTTCATTTTAAAGGTCAAATTTATATTTGGCATAATAGCTTCCTGCTTTAGACATGATGACAGTTGTATTATATAATATGTTAGCTTTCATATACTTACAAATCTCAGTTGAGTTTTAGCACTTAGAGCTTTTTTTTTGTCCACTTAGAGCTTATTTTAAAAATGCTATGCTTCCTTATCTGTTTGCATATTTCTGACTATACAGTAGACCCAGTTCTCAAAGGTTTCCAGAAGAGACTTCTCTTCACTCAGTTGAATCTGACTTCTGTTGTTGATGTTGACAATAACATTGTACGTAAAAAAGATAATTCCAGGGTTAAGGAAAGCTGTAATTTTACACTGTTTTTCACATTTACTTGTCATTGATTTTAGGGATCCACCTAGTAAGAAAAGGAAAATGGAAAACTACCTGCACAACCAGAAGTTGTCCAGTAAGACCCTTGAGACATTGAACAACCAACCAACCCCAAGAACAGACACTCAGGAACTGGAAACCTCAGAAATCAAGCTAGTTGCTTCTTTTGAAGACTCCTGCAGCTCTAATGCCAGAAAGCAGACTCTTACAACACCACCAAGATATCCTCAGAAGTTGCTTCTACCAAAGCCCAAAGTGGCCTTGGTTAAACTGCCAGTGATGCAGTTTTCTCCTATGCCCGTCTTTGTGCCTACAGCTGACCCCTCAGCCCAGCCTGTGGTGTTAGGTGTTGATCATCAGGGCTCGGCCCCAGGTGCTGTGCACTTACTTCCCTTGTCAGTAGGAACCCTGTTCCTTGGCCTGGATTCAGACACTTGCTCTCTGAAGGAGAGCCTCCCTCTTTCAAAAATTGTAACCCCTGTTGCTGTTGAGCCGATTAGTACAGGTGTTCAAGTAAACTTGGGTAAAAGTCTGTCTGATCCTTTACAAGAACTAGGGAATGCATGTCAAAAGAACAGCATTTCTTCAATCAATGTCCAGACAGATCTTTCTTATGCCTCCCAACACTTTATACCTTCTTCACAGTGGGCTAGCCCTGATTCCTCTGTATCATCTTGTTCTCAAACTGACTTGACTTTTGGGTCTCAAGTGTCCCTTCCTATTAGTGTTCAAACACAAACATTTTTGCCCAATTCTAAGGTAACTTCAACTATAGCTGCTCAGACGGATATGTTTATAGATGCTTGTCTCCAGTCAAGTGGGGTCTCCAGAGAAACTCAAACCAGTGGACTACAAAGTCCAGCTGATGACCGGGTTCAGATGGACCAAGCTGTAATGTGTGGAGACATTTTTGAGACTGTCCATTCATCATATGGTGTCTCTACAGACAATATCATAAACAACAGCTTAGTAGCAGAGACTGGAACTCACAGTTTGGTACCTCAGAACGACCCTAAGACTTTAAATCAAGATATTGAGAAATCTGCAGCGATTATAAACTTCAGTGCACAGAATAATATGCTTCCTTCACAGAACATGACAGATAATCAGACCCAAACCATAGACTTATTCAGTGATTTAGAAAACATCTTGTCAAGTAATCTGCCTACACAGACATTAGACAATCGCAGTCTTTTGTCTGACACAAATACTGGGTCAGACACCCAGCTCCCATCTGGTCCTACCCAGAACCCTGCAATTGATTTTGATATTGAAGAGTTCTTTTCGGCCTCCAATATTCAGACTCAAACTGAAGCAAGTGAGCTTGGCGCCATGACCACAGAGCCAGCCTTGGAATCACTGGACATAGAGACCCAAACTGACTTCTTACTTGCCGACACTTCTGCCCCATCCTACAGCTGTAGGGGAAATTCTAACTTCTTAGGCCTTGAGATGTTTGACACACAGACACAGACAGACTTGAACTTCTTTTTAGACAGTAGTCCTCATCTGCCTCTGGGGAGTATTTTGAAACACTCCAGCTTCTCCATGAGTACTGATTCTTCTGATACAGAGACCCAAACAGAAGGAGTCTCCGCTGCTAAAAATGTACCTGCTCTCGAAAGCAAAGTTCAGTTGAACAGTACTGAAACACAGACCATGAGTTCTGGCTTTGAAACGCTGGGGAGCTTGTTCTTCACCAGCAATGAAACCCAAACAGCAATGGATGACTTTCTTCTAGCTGATTTGGCCTGGAACACGATGGAATCTCAGTTTAGCTCAGTAGAAACCCAGACATGTGCAGAACTGCACACGGTTTCCAACTTCTAACAGTGGAGTTTACAGATTGCTTCTAGAGCAGTGTTCACTCTTGAATGTAGTTGATGATACAGTTGCTTCAATTCATTGCTGTTCATTGCCTTTTGTACTTGTAAACATGAAATCTGTGTATAAATGTGAGTGTATTATAAAGTGTAAGATACTGATATAAAAATAATTGTTTTTGTGTTGCCTACATTTGTCCTTTCACAGCCAGTTGTCCTATATTTGAAAAAAAGAAAAATTTCACATCTTTAAAGCCCATCTAGCCGTTTAGATGAAGCCAAGCTTACTGGGTAAAGGAATACAAACTTTTCAATTCTTTTAAAAAATTGTAGTCTGTTCTGCACTTAAGTTGCAACTGAAGTATTTTTGACAGTACTTATTAGAAGTTCCTGCTTCCTGATAGTAACATCTAATGCCATCTGATGTGACCCTTGCTGATTATAACACCAGAGCTCAGAGGGGCTGGAACTCGGTCAGCCTGCACCTTCATCTGCTATGACATCTCTTTTCTGATTTGAAGACACGAAAGAATTAACTACAGCTGTCTTTAGCTTTTGAAACAATTTCCCAGCAGTCCGTGCCATCCCTTCACTATATAACGATGACTGTTATCATTGTATGTGTATAGTACTTGCCTCACAAGAGATGTGTTGGCTGTGAAATCATTGCTAACAGACAGCAGTGTACACTTAGTGTAAATAGTGACCCTTCTCACCTACACAGTAAATCACCCCACCGTGAAGAGGCAGAATTGTGGAATAGTGCCTGTTCGTACTGGAACACGCCCAGCAGCCAGCTCTCCTGCTCTGCAGTAGACCAAGTTACTCTGGGACTGCTGTTAAGAGCACTCAGAGGCTGGATCTCAGCTTTGTCACTTTTTTATATAGCTGAGAAAGAAAAGGGCAGCCCCCCTAAATTTCTATACTTCACACTGTAATAGCTTGCTAGGGTAAGTGTGCAATCTACAGTTATTTAAAGTGACTGTTTTTCATCCACTTCTCATCTTTTCTGTGAAGAAAATGTTGGTCTAGCAAGGATATTATTTGTGCCTTGAGGATAGCAATTACAGATTTGCCTAAATTATGGTATTTTGTTACTTTGTTTGGAGAGAGTAATGCCAGTCATCTTCAAAGAAGACAAGGTAAAGACATATTCACTCATCAAGAACCGCTAGGTTTAACGATGGGAGCAGGGTCAGGTTTTCTTTGAGGTGGGGGGGGCGCAGTCTGTGTTTGGAAGATCTTGAATTTTTGATTGTTGGCCAACTTTCAGGCAAATAAGAATCAGTGTGGCCTATATGTTTTCTAAGTTTACAAAATATGTTCTGACATACATGTGTGCTGCTGAAGGCTAAATCCTCAAAATAAAAGCTAATAAGAGAACTAATAATTCATCAGAGTGAATTGCTGGTGTTGCTACTAATTCTTATCCCCATAGGATTGTTGGTAATGGATAAAAAACATCCTGGGCAAGTAAACTTTGGTCACAGTTTGCTTTGGTCACAGTTGCCTATTATTATGGGTTTTAAAACATAAAGCCTTAACTTAGAATTTCATTGTTGTAGAATCATCACTGCCTTAATGTTCAAACATCTAAGTCCCCTGATAAAGGAGCAATGCATGTTTGTTTATTGTTTTTTGTAGACATAACTGCAGTGATCTATGGCTTAAACAAACAAAAAAAAATGTTTCTGTGACAGTGTTAATCAGACCTTAAGTTAACAGAAAAATGGAGCATGTAATAGTTCATGTACAAGTTAAGAAGTGTTTCCCACCTAAACCTTGGCTTCCTTTGAATTGTTCTAAGATTATTTGTAAAAACAAATTCAGTAATTAAAGAGAAGTGAGAATTCTACCTTTTTTGCAGACTTTTCAACTTTAATAGTGTGACTTTGTTACCTTATCTTTTACAAGCTCACACAATGAAGTGATTGTGCTATTTTCATTATGGCTTTTCCTTTGTTCATGAAAATATGCTCACAGTTTGCACCATATAAAATGAAGACACCCATTATCAAAGTTGCTATGTAGAAGTAAGTTTTTAATCTTGATTAAAAAAAAAAAACTTAGTATCTTAAGTTTTGGAAAATTTATTCAAAGGAAATTACTCCATTATTCCAATGGAATGTGATGATTTTTGTAATGGGGGTGCCTTTTATTCTTTGTATTCGATTGACTCTGGCTCTGGGGCAGCTATTAGAGGGCTAGAAAATGAATAGTACTTTACTCAGTCTCTGATTTTCAAGAAAGCCAAAACAATGTGTGCTTCTGATCCCCCTGAAATAGAGGGAAAATAAATTTTTATGGACTTCCCTAAAAGGTGCTGAGTAAGTTTTGAAACTAATTATAACCAGGAGGAAATATATTAATGTCAGCCTATTGATATTTGGGAAGATGAATTGTTTTATTAATAGGCAAATGACAGTGATCTTTTCGTGTAATCCTTTTATGCCCTCAATTTTAGAATGACTTAATTCTAGTTAAAGCCTGCTCATCAAATACTGATTCCAAGGAGTATTTTCTAACTGGCATAGCCTCTAATACAACCTACAGAGTCATGAGCAATATCAGAATCAGTGGTATTTATCCCAGATTAAATGTTGGCTTTCTAGTTTCCTTCAAAGTACATACAGATTAAAACATATGAAACTCTTTTAACAATTCTCTCATACTTAGAGGCTCAGTGGATAGTCATAAGCCTGCTGTCTTGCCACAAATAAGACTACTCTGTAGTATGTCTTCAAGTTCATGCCTGCTTTCAGGTTTAAAAAAGGAGAGAAATTGTTTCATTCAAAGGGAAGAAAGATTTGTGGTTTGAGCTAAATGGGAGAAAAAAGCCATTTTCATAAATACATGTGGCGATCAGTTTGCCAGCAGTCACTAAGGAGTGTCATGCACAGCACTGCCTGCCTCTTAGCCATGCTGTTTTGGCTCAGGCAGTGAATATGAAGAAAGTATTGCTGAAAGTGGAGAATTCTGAATAACGGCATTAAATGTAAGTACATTAACGTAGCATCTTAGAATAGTCTTATAACCTTGTCAAAACAATGATGCTTGTTCACATAAAAGAGAAGAGAAAGCCAACAGCTCTAATTAGTACCGGCTAATGGACCAGAAGAGAGATTGTCTCCAAGAAAAACACACTTATTATGATCACTCCTGAAATGGGCCTAGGCAGGCACCACCAGAAGATTCTGCTCCTGAAGGGCCAGGGAGAAATGGGGACTCCTTTGGGCCTTTAGGCCTGGAGCACCTCACTTCACGTAAGGCAAGCATGCCATCTCCTACATTACCCCTATGAGGGTTCTGCCTCTTAAAAAAAAGTAAAGCTCTCAGAGAAGCTGCTGCAAAGGCATTGGATTCTAGAATTATTGACTCCCAACACAAATGGATCGGTTTTGCCCTTGGCAAAGTCTGAAAACATTAGTTGTCACAACTAAAGGCATCCATTATTGGCATCTGTTATTAATGGATCAAGTCCATAGATACCGCTAAATACCCTATGCTGCACAAAAGAGCCCCCACCACAAAGAAGGATCCAGTCCCAAATGCCAGCAGTGTAAACAGGGCAAAGCTCTGCTTAGAGGTAATCCAGTTGGATTGTGGAGTCTCAGCTTAACCACAGGTACAGTATGGAGTTTGGTGGCTTTAAGCTTTATCTTCTTGGCTCTCCCAAGAATAGGCACAATGGGTTAAAGCACCACATTATGAAGCTCTGAGAAGCCACTGCAGCACTAGTTCAGTCCCCAGCCAGGAAGCTGAACCATATGGTGTGGCAGACCTCTCCTGACCCGCCCACTGCTCCCCTCAGCAATGTATTTCAATACATCTGCCTGTTCTGTTCCCCACTCTCTCTCGTGAATCCTCTTAACCCATCACACTTCTGCATGTACCCGTTCTGTAAGCATAAATAAATAAATCTTTAAAAAAAATAGGTATATATATACCTTCTTTAGAAAGTGTATGTTTGTGGGAAAGGCCTATGCAAAAAAAAAAATTAGGATTTTTTACTGTAAGCAGCTTCTGAAATGTACAAACTGCTATTCACTTAGATGGTTTGTGTGTGTGTGTGTGTGTGTGTGTGTGTGTGTGTGTTTTATTTCACACTACAGAGGACAGGATCTGGAGCAAACCTGATCACAAATTCGTGACATAAAAAAATGTTCACCATTTTGAGCTTCTAGTAATGTCTGTAAGTTATCTGTGCTCAAGTAGCAGAATGAGGGAGAACCTTAAGTATCAATCCCCTAGTTTCATAAGGCAAAAGCGGCACTGCCCAGTGGCAGAGCGGGGGCATATTAAAAAAAAAAAAAAAAGTCCTTTAGTTCTTTCGTTCTAATTCCTAAGTCCTAGTTCTTGACTCCATGGAAAAGGGAAAGTGGTTTTTATTACTGACTACACTGAATACAGAAGTCATTCTAACACAGTTTTCAAGAAGATGTACACTAGCATTGAACTGGGAGGTTGAACTTGAAAACTCATTTCACTCTTTAACACCTTGGCATGGTATTTATCTGCAGGGCCATGATGTTTAGTCTGGAAGTGGAAATTCCAGAAAAGAATAATACGAAAAAAAGGTCAGGGAATGAAGGTCCATGAAGTTGCCTAACAAATCAGCAGTAACTCTCAGTCAATAAATTAGGAAAGCTGAGTTTTGAGGACTGTTAAAGGGCAAAGGCCCACTGAACTCCAAATGACAGTTCCCATGGCCACTGGATTTACATATGATTTTGAACTGTCACTTGTTAGAGGGAAATGATCCCACTGTTTATATTTGAGCTTATCACTACATCCAGAAAAAGCACAAATCTGTTGGCATAGTACATACACTTCCTCATCATAACATTCCATGCCAGAAAGTGTTCCCATTTACAGGAAGGAATGACATTCTCGAGCCCTCTTTCCACTCTTATGTGATGCTTTCTGTCCCATAATCCAGCTGTCCCCTACAGACCTTTCAGGTGCCCAGGTTACAGACCCTCCCCTCCAATCTCAGGAGAAAATTACCCCCGAGCTTATGACTATGTTCAGAATAAAAGATAATGTCCACAAAGGACTTTGAACTTTTAAATGGTACATGATCAATTCAAGCAGAATTATTTCGTTATGTGAATGGCTGTTAGAACTCATGAGCAGGCCCTCCCTGGTGGCACAATGGGTTAGGATGCAGCACTGCAAGCTATCCGCAGCCACTTCAGGAGTTCAACCCCCCGGCCCCAGAGGTGACCCACATGGCACAGCAGACAACCCTCCTGTCTTGCTTGCTGCTCCCCTCAGCAGTGTATTTCAGTCTATCTGCCTGTTCTGTTACCCACTCTGTCTTTGGTGAATCCTCTTACACCCTGCACCTCTGGCCTGTACCCCAATTCTGTATGCATAAATAAATGAATCTTTAAAGAAAAAAAAAAATTCAAGAGTAGAGAGCCCTCCCTGGTGGTGCAACGAATTAAAGCCCAGCACTATGAAGCTGCCCACAACCACTGCAGCACGGGTTCCATCCCCTGCCAGGGAGCTGACACAGATGGCCCAGTAGACCTCTCCCCGCAGCAGTGTATTTCAGTCAGTCTGCCTGTTCTGCTCCCCACTCTGTCTCTGGTGAATCCTCTCACCCCCCACACCTCTGACCTGTACCCCAGTTCTTGTATGCATAAATAACTGTTAAAAAAAAAAAGAACTCTAGAGTAGAGTTTAGCCTGGACGTGGAGAACATGGCCTTGAATCTCTCATGGCTCCAGGAGTCCCGGGTATCTGATATGGCGGACAGTGGGAATGTTCCCAATGGCACCACGGACCGACCTCAATGCCCTTAGTCATAGACACAGGAGTCCCTTCTGTTTCTTCCCCTCCTTGCTTCTCAGGAGTCCTTAAGCAACAGCACCATGGTTGCTTTGGACCCAACTTCAGATACCCTGAAAAGTCCCTCCCAGTCATAGCCATGCAGCTTGGCCTGCTGGGGGGCCACCTGCAGAGAGTTGGGCTGGGTTTCTGTGGTCTCTCTGGATCCTGAAGCTCCTGAATTCAGAGAGAGGAAGAGACTGTAAGCAAAGTTGGCTCTTCGTTCTAATCTTTTTATAGCATGATTTTCAAAGTACAGATGAATTTCACAAGAGTAGTTTAAAGTCTGGAGTCGACTTTAAAATAACCTAGTTGACTTTACTCTGATTTAAAACCTTCCCCTGCCTTTTAAAAGTGCCTCCCCTTCCTGTGGTCCATTGGAGGTGGGGTCTGATCTCTCGAGTAGAGATATTTGGGTGATAGGCAATCTCAGCCAGCTGTATGGGTATCTGTCACTCTAGACCTTAATGCCACCATCCTCTGGGCCACAAGGAAAGGTCTCAACAGTCCCAAAGAACAAATTCAGCTATGCTTGGAGAAGGACAGTTGGTCAACATCATGCTTGCTCATAGGGGGCCAGATGTAAGTGACATTGATGTGTATGGCAAGGAAAAGACAAGTACCACCGCCTCATCTCCCTGCCTGCCTGGTCAACAGTCTGTCCCAAAGTTTCCTATCCCTCTGACCCCTCCCTTGACTCGCCTTCACCCTCAACAACATCATCAGGCCTTAGCCCTGCCCCACCCAGTAAGTGACCTCAGTGGCCACTAGAGCTCTGTGGCTAGTGTTGCCCCAATCTATTTGGTGATTTTTAAGGTTTCAACAAAAACAGACATTTGGAAGTTTTACTAATGAGACACCCAAAGGCAAGTGAAAGAGTAATGAAAGCCAGAGTCTCCCAGGCTTGACTTGGAGAGGACTAGAAGAACTAAAACCTAACTGAGACCATCACCTTGAGGGAGATACATGCTGAACATGTGAAAACAGCAGGGTCTCCCAAGAATGTTATCAGTGACCTAAAATGCTACCAGGGCCAGAATTCTATGAACATTTGTGCTTCATTTAGACTTGGGTCACAAACCAGTTTGAATGCTCTAATACGAGTGGAAATTGGGACAAGGCCAAGAATGACTTTATCCACAGAGAAATATGCTAAACCCAGAATGCAAGATCCCAGAGGGATCTAAACAAAGAGGTGCCAGATGCAAAACAGTCTATCTACTCACAGAAGAATCTTCTACTTGATATTTTGTTGGCCACTTTATCTGTGCAAAAAAGAGAATACTGCATTATCTTCAGTAAATGTAAGCTCTTCCTTTCTTCAGACTGGCCTCCTTTAAATTCTAAATTATTGTTTGCTCTCAAATCACAGAATCTATAACTCATATCTCAAGAGTTTTTATGGGAACATTCTGTTGTGAGTTAAATCAGGGTTTTCAAATTGCCTCAAGACTCCCCAAAAGGTAAGTATGTCTGGGCCAAGCAGGGCTCTGCCCCTCAGCTGTGTTGGTCTGGACCCCTCAATCCCAAACAAACACATGGGAGACTGTTTTTCCATATTGAGCTGATTCATGATTCTGCTGTTTATAAAATAGGCCTGGGGGGAGGGGAGGACACTGACTTAGTGGGCAGAGCTGCAGGGTCCTCAGACAGAGGTAGGTCTAATACCTTCCCTGCTCAGAAAATCGGAACTCAGGACCACTTAAGGGGAACAGAATCCAGACAGTTTCTTCATTAAAAGAAGAGTTCTAGATGGAACTAAAAACTGCTTCTACACTACAATTGCCCTTCCTCAATAAGCAAAATACACCTTTTAGTGACTATATTTGCACTCCTGGATTTCTAATATCTTAAAAAAACAAACCAATAAAACAAAATAAAAATTTTAAAACAGTTAAGATATTGCAAAAATTCTGTAAAGCAAATATTTATAAAAACAGTAGTCAGGGGCTGTTAATTAAACAAATGCAAACTAACTACAGAGTAGATAAATGGTCATTCATATTACAAAGTCGTTTTGAGAGCGTTTCTAGACATAGCATCCTTACTTGGCATTTACAGGATAACTCATTTACAAATATTTGATTGACCTACAATTTCAGGACATAGGCACCAGGATAAAACAAGGGAGGGAGTGGGGGCTGGGGGAATGAAGGAAGTAACAGCCCCATCTGCTAAGAGTCTCTCTGGGGGTACAGAGTTCCCAAATATCAGATGCACGGTGAAGCTAGCAGTGGGGTGACAAAAAAAATCACAGTGAATTTTTTTTTTTCAAACAAGCAGGTTAAATTTTTTTTTTTTTCAGTTTTGTAAAACTTTACTTTCACAGTAATATATGCCCTTGGAACAAGAAGATCCTGTTAAAGATTTATAAATTGCTTAATAAAGTAAATATCTAGGTTGATTTTATGAAACTTTCAGTTATTAAGTTGCAGAAAGTTTATTAGGGTTATCAGAATTTGCATGCATGGTTAGAATCAAAATGGTGAAATAATCCAAGGAACTAGATTCTTAATATTTCCCTGAACATAATGACATTACAATTTCTCATTAAATACTTACTCCTATGTTATATTCATTTGACCTCTAATTTTCCATTTTATACTCTGACATTTACTTCTGAATATAGATATGAAAAATCCTTGTATTAGCTCCTTAGTTTTAATACCACAGTCCCTGCTTTACCCTGCCTATATTTTTTGTAACTTACACTGATGTATACTTATTAAGCCAGTTATATTTGAGGAATTTTGTGAATGGAAATACATTAAGAAAGTTAAGAACAGTATCAAAGTCATTATTTCACAGCTCCTCATTCGATTTCAGGAAAATGGCTCCTTGTGAACAGCAATGCTGTCTGATAAATTCTTTCCACGTCTAAAGATAAACTTAAAAGAAATGAAATTATGAGACACCTATGACATTTTTCTAGACATTTTGAGTGATTCATGGTTCAACACTGGTAATATTTGATAAGCAAGAATAAATTAAAAGGCTAAAAGTTTAAAATGTACACTTTAATAAGATGTAGTATAAAAACAATTAGGTAAGCGTATAGAGAAGCTGACCAAGATACATAAATTAGGAGATATAAATGTCCACTAAGTTTTCTATATTTCTTTCTTTTTTTTCCCTACAAACTATTTATTAAAGTTGCTTAATGTACAATTTCTCAATTGTCATTTCGGGGAACCTTTATTGTAATGACTATTCATTTGCCTGATGAAAACAATAGTCACATCATGATTATTCTGGAACTCCACGTTGGTTAAATTCAATTTCTTCTGAGAGACAAGTTTCCTTCTGTATTTCTGAGGTGATGTTGTTATTTAATTTCTTAACCTGCTCCCCCAAGATGGATTTTGTAATGTGGTTAAAATTTCCTCAGGCTCAGAGACTAGCATGAGGGTACAATATAAGTACATGAAATCTTGGACACGTATAATGGATATCAATGGATAAAACATAAGGATGTGTCACCCAAGATGTGGATATGTTTTATCCATGGACATATGTCACTTTGCACACAAAGAATACAATGGACCGGGTACATCTATGAACACAAGGATTCGATAGCTTTGATAGCTCATTTGGAGGTAGGCTGGAATTATTAAAGCAGTGTTTCTAAATTTGGTTGCAAGAGAAAATGAGCCAATTGACTTAGCTGCCTGGATCAGAACAAAAAAACAAAAAACAACAACAAAAAACACCAGGAAACAACTTGACTAAACAATCCCAACCTTACTTAAGGCAGTGGGGCTCACTAGAGGCTGGCATGGGGGTATCACAGAAAGAGGCTCTGGGACTTGGCCATCAACCTGGCTTCCAGTGGGGAACAGAAGGTCAGGGCAGGCAGGGGCTGAGAGCGGCAGTTTGTAAATGGTGATTCAACAGAAGTCAATCCTGTGTACTTTGAAATATGAGACTAAGCGAAAACTCAAATAATGAGGTTCAATTGGCTAAATTTCCTGTTTTCTATTAAACAAAAGGACATGGAGAGGGAGAGAGGAGGGAACAAGAGAAAGAGACTGGAATAGGGGAGGAGAGGAAGACTGAATGAATTTCAGACAGTGCTAATTCCCAGGGATTTATATTGTGGCAACTCAGAGGAACCTGTGAGTGGAGACAGGAATAACAACTCTGCTCACTGTGAGGGAAGGCAAGAGAGGTTTGGGGAACAATTTAGGGTCCAAAGTTTTGGAGCTGTTTTCCTGCTTGGTCTCGGTGAGAATGCGCTTTGGGGTGTTCACAGGAGGTCTTGGCTCCCTGGCTTTGAACTTGGCCTTATAGTTTTGCACTCCGTGTTTCTGCAAAAGCCGTAAGGTGGTGAGAAAGTGAAGGTTCTTGGGGTCAGGAGTGCACACCGGGTTTTTCTCAGGCAGGAGGGACCAGGGCAGGCAGCAGGGCTGGGGCTCGGCCAGCAGGGATGTCCGGGTCTCCCGGGGAGGGAAAGGCAGCGTTTTGTTGACCTTAAGGTGCCTGGCCAGTTCAAATGGTCTCTTTTCACCTTTCCCATCAACTGTTTTCAATCCAAAATCACAAGCCACACACTCATCCTTTTCCACACTCAGCACCTTCTCTTCTGACTGTAAGGAAAAGTTTGTATTCTTCTTACCTGGAACATCCACGCTGTTTGAGAGTGCAGTCTTCAGGGGAGGTAGAACTAAAAGAGTTTTGGAAGTCAAGGTGTCAGAGAGGGAGGCCCCTCTGCAGAGACCTCTGCTGGGATTTCTGAGTTCCTTTCCTTTAACAGTCTCGGGGGCGACCCAGTCTTCCATGCACCAAATAAATTCCTTTATTTGCAGGCTTTTTTTCTCTGCCTGACTGTAGGTAGGAAAGCAGATCTTGCTAATCTCCTTGGAAGCAGTGGTGGGGCCTGGGGTCTGCCCCTGTGTCTGGGAGAGGGTGCCCCTATCCTTCTCGAGGCCCCCTTGAGCCAGAGTCCCAGACTCTAGCTTCCCTGCGGATGGAGGACTGGCCTCGGAGCTCCCTTGGGAGAGGCTGACACAGAGTAAGCAGTTGTCCACACCTTCTCCCACCCTGGCCTTTTTAAGCTTCTTTCTGGGCCAGATACAGGCGGTTGGAGAAGTCCTTCCCCAGCCTTGGACCTGCAAACACAGTGGCAGGTTATTCTTTGGCTCAGCTGGCCCAACTTGGGCCACAGTCCCATACTGGTTGTCTTATCTGAACCAAATTTTTTCTTAAAACTGATCCACCTCTGGCCCTCCCTGGTGGCGCAGCAGGTTAAAGCACAGCACTGAGAAGCTAAAGCCACTTCCGCATGAGTTTGATTCCCGCCTGCCCCGGAGGTGACCACATGGTGACCCGCCCGCTGCTCCCCTCAGCAGTGTACTTCGTCCATCTGCCTGTTCTGCTCCCCACTCTGTCTCTGGTGAAGCCTCTCGCCACCCCTGAGCCTCTGGCCTGTACCCCAGTTCTGTATGTACAAATAAATAAATCTTAAAAAAAAAAAAACAAAAACTGATCCACCTCTTTTGAAAAAAAAAACAAACTCTTCATACCTACTTTAAATGCTACTAAGCAACAGTATTTGTAATAGTATCTGCTAGTCCTAAGTAGTAGCATTAGTACTTAATATTAAAATATTAAACAAGAGTATCTGTAAGTGGGCTCTGCTTGTGCTGACTGTATCTGCACATTAACATAAATCCAGAACTAGTGAAATCACAATCACACTGTTCATATTTGTGCCCCTGCCAGGCGTCCTTATACTGTCCTCTGGGACCTTGCTTCAGAGAGACTGAGGTTGGGAAGCAGAGCAACCCCAAGCTGCCCTCTATACCCGTCCACCCTGGAGTTTCTGGCTGACCTTACCACAGACAAGGCCTTTAGATAGACTTGCCAGATAAAAACACAGGGCCACGTGTGGGACCTACTTAAACCAAACCGGCAAGGTGCTGTTTAGAAATTCAATTCACTGAGTGTCCTGTGCTTGCATTTACTAAATCTGGCAACCTTATGTATGAGAAAAGAAAAACAGCTCCCACGCTACCACTATGTTCCAGCACTGAGCTGAGAAGTGACTGGCAATTTGTTCATTTAATTTTCACTGCATGCCACAATTAGGTCCTCTGATACCCAGGTTACAAAGGAAGAAACTGAGGCTCTGAGGTTCTTACAGCCAGCGGCAAGTCTGGCACTTTGAGCAGGCCTGTGCAAGGAAAGGCAGTGTCTCCTGGGCCGCACTATGGGGCCAGACACTGGTCATCTTCCATAAAAACTTCCCTATACCACCATTCCAGCTTCACCCAACCCTTCTTCACAAGCCCAAATTCCTTTGATTAAAAACTTAAGCTGCATCACTTAAAAAACAAAACTGGCTAAGTATGCGGCAACAAATGAGGCATTTAAGTTCTCTCCACATTCCTATGGCCTGCAGTTACAGGTGAAGAATGTGAAGCCAGGAAAAGGCCTCCCCAAGGCCAGCTGCCATTTAAATGGCAGAGCTGGCACAGAATCCAGTTCCTTTTGATTCCAAAGTCCCCATTCTTCCCAAAATTGTGCTAATGCTGTGGATATCATCCAAGCCAAACACATGGTCTTCACAGTTAGTCTCAATTCTTGGAGGGCCATGGTGTGTGAAGGCTGCTCAGTTGCTCCTCGCATGCCAAGTCAGCCAAAGGACACCTTCCCCAGCTTCCTCCTCCTGCTGCTTCCATTCTGGAAATTGCCAGGGCCCTATTTTACTTATTTGACAGTGTGAACAATAAACAAGGTCTTAGGAGGGGGCATAGAGATCGTTTCAATGAAAAGGAAATCATTTTCCAACAGGCCTTAGAAATAATGTATTTCAGAGGCGTTACCTCGAGAAGTAATCTTTTCAAATTATAAATTCTTAAAAAGAGCCCTCTACAACCCTGACTTATTGGTGTGAATGTGTGTGGAAGGTCGAAAGTACTCAAGGTGTTGTAGGGCAGTTCAGGACAGAGAACTGGAGGAGGGCTTCAAAGACAGGATTCTTTCTACTGTCAAGTGGACTTGGTCGAGTCACTTTGCCTTGACTAGGCCTCAGTTTCTAAATTTATCAAAGAAACTACTGGATCAGAACCACTGAATCAGATCTCAGTCTCAGCATGACTGCCATTTGGGTTTTGTTTTGGGTTGTGTCTTTGTATCTCTCCTCAGGACCCGCCTTCCTAAGTTGAAAACTATCTCCCACCCTGACCAATGTGATGATATATGGGTGGAGCCTGTAAGGTAATTAGGAGTTTGAGGGGGTCCTGAAGGTGGTGTGTTGACAGTAGGATCAAACCCCTTATGAAAACAAGAGCAGCTAAGGGGACCTTTCGCTCTGCTGGCAGCAAGGCAGGCTATGTGCGAACATAAGCATGAAGAGAGTTTTCATGATCTCAAATTGCTGCCCTCAAGAACGAGATGAATGCATGTAGATTAAGCCCCCAGTTCTATGGTATTGCTATATCTGCCCAAACTAAGACAGAGATAGATCATTCCTCAGGACAGCACAGGGCTGTCCTGTGCTTTGTGGGCTGTGAAACAACACCAGTAATTATCACTTCCCCCCCACTCTTGGGATCCCATCAAGCATCACTTGAGAATCACTGTATAAGACCTAATTTCCTTCTATGTAGCTCTAAGTTGATGATTATATTGTTGACTCTAAGAATAGTTTTAAGAATAAACTGACAGGGTTCTGAGTAGAACCACTAGGGCAGAATGTCAGGTCTCTTGGGGCATTTCACACCACAGTTAAAGAGCGAAGGTTCTAGATCAGAAGACTCAGGTTCAAGCCCCGCCTTGGACACTAGCTAGTGATCTCTGGCATATTATTTCACTTTTCTGGGTGCCTTGGTATCCTTGTCCCAAACATGGCACTGTTCATAAACCTAGCTCATAGATCAACTGAGAGGTGGAAGCAACAGCTGTCCATCCAAGAAGCACTCAGAACTATGCTTGCTACACTCAGTAAAAAGTACTGTTTTTAGTAATTAATATTTACCCTCTGTGTCAAGGCTTCTATATGTCACTGTTTACCCCCTTTTTTTTTTTTTTGATACTATTAGCTGTTTTTGCAGGAGGGGGAAACTGACATGCAATAGGTAAAACTCAAGATGAGATACTCACTGCTTCTTCCCATCCCGTTCCGATAATAAACTCATTGGCTTTTTCATCTTGTTCCAGTGTAATGTCACTGATATTAAGAAGACAACAAACATGATTCTTTTCTTTTCTTTCATCTGGACAAGTATGCATTATTTCAGTTTCTTCTGTGCTTTGAATTTCATTATTTTCACTATTTTCTGACTTTGTGTCATTTTCCTGACAGACATCCATTACTGTGATGGATACTTAACGTTTTTAACATCTTCCTCCTGTAGTTTAAATAGTGGATTGATGTAATTATTAATATTGATTGTTTTTTAAAGAAAAGCAATTCAGTAACTCAGGTGAAATATCTTCCAGTCACATTCAGGAATAGACTGAAAAGAAATATAAAGTTATCTGTTGCTAACTGTTGACATTACAAAAGATAAGGCTAAATTAATTAAAGATGGATAGGTTTAATTCAAGACCAAAGGTGGGAGTGCAGAAAAGAGGACAGGAGGATGCTGTCCCCTGTCCTCCCCCTGAGGTTCTCTCCCCTGAGATGGGGTCTGCAGTGGGGTACAGAATGTAGGTTGAAGCATCCCTACTCTCCACTCCCCAAACATCCAAATGATACCGTGCTAATGTCAAGCAAACTACTGTGCGTATGTGAGCCTTCACACCCAGCCTCCTTGCTCTCCTTTTCCTCCTCTCAACAACTCTTGATATGAGCATGGGCATCCTTAGGCTTCTGAGGAAGATAATGAGGCAGGTGGTCTAGGCTAAGTCAATCACTTTAATCCCCTTCCCATGCTTCTGCTCCTATATCCCCCAACACAAAAACTGATTTACAGACAGACACAAATGAAAGTAACAAGTGTTGACAGGATATGGGGAAATTAGAACCCTCACATACAATATAATCATACTGGAAAAGTTTAGTGATTTCCCAAAGAGCAGAACACACAATTATATAGTCCAGTAATTTCACTCCAAGAGAACTGAAAACAGGTATTCAAACAAAAACTGGTAATGAATGTTCATAGCAAGATTATTCGTAATAACCATTAAATAGAAAACTTGAATGTCCATCAATGTTTAAACATATATCCACACAGTAGAATCTCACTTAACCATAAAAAGAAATGATGTTACTGATACATGCTTCAACATGGATAGAACTTGGAAACGTGATAAGTGAAAGGAGTTAAGCACTAAGGGTCACAGAATGTTTGCAATAGCCAGACAAAGTAAATCCATAAAGGCAGCGAGATTAAGCTTGTTAAGAGGTAGGAGAGGGATGGAAAATTAGGAGGTACAGGTTTCTGTTTGGTGTGATGAAAATATTCTAGGATTAGTAGCAATGTTTGCACAACATTGTAAACTACTAAAAACTATTTAGGGTAGTTTTTTTAATGGTAACTATTATGTCTATTTATCTTAATAAAAATTAGCTCACAATAAAAACTTATTTCAGTAAAATTTAGAATTATGAATCAGCAAAGTGGGAAATATGGGGAGAAATTAAAAGCCATTCATTAAAAATAGAAACTCTGGAAATGAAAAGTAGAAAAGCTGAAATAAAAAATAGTAAATAGCTTAACATCCATGTAGGTAGAGTCCCTATAGAGAAAGGAGAGGGAATGAGACAGAAATGGTTCCTGATGACATTGTTGATGGCTGAAAATTCCCATATATGGTTAAAAAATAATAGGTAGGTAGATAGATTCAAGCAGCTCAGTAAACTCACATATAAATACAGAGAAAACTCTTCCCACATGAGAGTCAGACTTCTGAAAACCAAAGATACATGACTGGAAGCTCTTGAAAGCAGCCAAAAAAAAGCTTCACATCACCCATAGATATATGATGTCTCGTTAGACTTTATAGAGGTTTCAGGCACCGGAAGGACTTCATTCACGTGCTGAAAGGAAGAGGGGGAAAAGGGTCACATAAAACTCTTTACTCAGGAAAACATCCTTGAATAAGAAGAGAGACTTAAGATACTTTCAGATAAACAAAACTAACCTGTACATAGGTCAGGAGGCTCAAATCAAATCATACTACAAGAAATGTTATGGAAGGTTTTCAGTTTGAAAGAAACTGGTACAAAATGTAGAATTTAGGAAGGAGAAAAGAACCGCTGAAATGGGAAATAGTTGGACAGGTTTAATAAAAGATGCTTTTTCCTTAATTTCCATATGTAAAAATACCTATAAATGTTTCAAAAATTAAAACTTTGTGTTCTAGGAGTTACAATTTGCTTGCAAGAAGACAGAAGTCACTGGCTCCAAACTTCTAACTTGCTCTCACGCCAGCCCTCACCCCTGCCAGAAATCTACTTTTTTCACTTTCTTTTGAGGCAGAGAGCAGTAATTTTAGCAATTTCTATTTGATTGTCATTCTGACTTTTTCAAATAAGTTTAGAGGCACTGTGATGTCCATATAGTTCCATTTATTAGGGAAAGGCTAATTATTTTGGACATCCTAATCTTTTCCAAAATGGCACTGGAGGAAAAGAATGAAATCAGAAAAAAAAAAAAACCTATAAGTATCTTTAAAAGTATCTAAAAATGAAGTGCTGTTTTCTGTTTACAAACAAAAGCATGATGTCTGTTGTTTTCATATTTTGAAATTTCATTTCAGCCACTGCCCAGGCCAAAGCAGCTCCTATAAGTATACTCAGTCTTTGTTCTCTTCTTCATTACAAATACTCTTTTACGAAGAAGCAACTGAACTACACAAGTGTACAGTTCAGAAGGAAAGAAGCAGAGAATCAAAAGCAAAGATGTTTATTAAATATTTTTTAATGTAAACTTGAAGCTAATATAGCAAAGATATAGATACTGTTTAGATGAGATTATGGATACTCAGAACACAGAAATCAGTAAGAAAAATGTTGTGCTTGTATAAAATAAGAATATTTATCTCCACACGAGACACACTCCATACAGATCCCATCCAATGGGAAGATGTTAATGGGGCAGGGA